TCAATGCTTAAAATAACTTGGACAGCGGGGGAAAAAAAAAAGCAACCAAGAGATTTTGAAAGAGGCGGGAGCCCGAAGACAACTAATCACAGACATCAGAAGGAGACAGTCATCATTTTTCGGCCATGTTATGAGAAGAGAAAATGGAACATGTGGTGACCACTGGAAAGATCTGTGGAAGGAGGGATAGAGGAAGACAACGAGAGAACATTCTTGACAGTTTCGTATTCGGCCGAATAGTGAAAATCACTCTCTATATAGAGATCCAACGTTTTGTATGAACCTAACATTATGTAGATATTGAACGTTATGTATGAACCAAACATTATGTAGAGATCCAACGTTTGGTATGAACCCAACATTATGCAGAGATTCAACGTCGTATAGAGATCCAACGTTGTGTATGGACAAAACATTATGCAGATATTCAACGTTATATAGAGATCCATAGACCCAACATTATGTAGAGATTCAACGTTGTATAGAGATCCAATGTTATGTATGGACCCAACACTATGCAGAGATCCAGCGTTAGGTATGGACCTCAACGTTGTGTAGGGATCCAACATTATGTAGAGATTCAACGTTATGTATGAACCCAATATTTTGCAGAGATTCAAAGTTATAAAGAGATCCAACGTTATGTATAGACCCAACATTATGCAGATATTCAACGTTATACAGAGATCCAACTTTAATTTGAACCTAACATTATGTACAGATCCAACATTATATAGAGATCCAATATTATGTAGAGATTCAACGTTGTATAGAGATCCAATGTTATGTATGGACCCAAAATTATGCAGAGATCTAGCGTTAGGTATGGACCTCAACGTTGTGTAGGGACCCAACATTATGTAGAGATTCAACGTTATGTATGAACCCAATATTTTGCAGAGATTCAAAGTTATAAAGAGATCCAACGTTATGTATAGACCTAACATTATGCAGATATTCAACGTTATACAGAGATCCAACGTTATTATGAACCTAACATTATGTACAGATCCAACATTATATAGAGATCCAACATTATGTAGAGATTCAACGTTGTATAGAGATCCAATGTTATGTATGGACCCAAAATTATGCAGAGATCTAGCGTTAGGTATGGACCTCAACGGTGTGTAGTAACCCAGCATTATGTAGAGATTCAATGTTATGTATGAACTCAACATTATGTACAGATCCAACGCTATGTATGGGCCCAACTGTATGTAGAAATTCAAAGTTATAAAGAGATCAAACCTTATGAATGGACCCAGCATTATGTAGAGATTCAATGTTATGTATGAACTCAACATTATGTACAGATCCAACGTTATGTATGGGCCCAACTGTATGTAGAAAATCAAAGTTATATAGAGATCAAACCTTATGAATGGACCCAGCATTATGCAGAGATTCAACGTTATTTTGAGATCCAACGTTACGTATGAACCCAACATTATGCCGGCTGACGTAATGCTGACCACAATACCCATTTAGTGCCGATTGGTCTGTAAAAATATTGGCCGCTCTTCCCATATGCCCAAAGTTCCTAAGGCGTGAAAAGGGATCTTTACTTTACTTACAACATTATGCAGTTTCAACGTTATATAGAGATCCAACGTTAGGTATGAACCCAACATTATGTAGAGATTAAACGTTAAATACAGATCCAACGTTTTGTATGGAGCCAACATTATGTGGATGCCAAGGACCGTGTCGCATAGAGGGGGAACATGAGGAAGAGAATAAAACTGAAGGAAAAAATGCAGAAACGCTAAACGCTGAACATTTGAGAAGCAGAGAGTTAAATACACACTATGCAACAATAGTATTGAAATCCTATGTTAAAACTGTGAAAGAAGATTTTCTTGAACGCAGACGGGTCGTGCTACTTATACTCGCCATTGCCATTGGCTGTGATTCGCATACATACCTGTGTTAACAATATAACCGAAAGGTCTGGAAAGACGAGAAAATGCTAGTTGAACGGATAAACATTCATAGTAGGTACTACAATTTATATGCCACGCCCACATTTCACCGGAAATAGAGACTGCCTAGTAACGCGAGGGATCGGCGGTCCCTGAAATGTTTTGCGTTTCCATACTAATACTAGCTACTTTAGAAACCTTACCATTCGATACTGGTTCAACGTTATGAAAAGACATGTCAGTGCCAATGATTGATCGTCATCATCGTAGTGGTCATTTTCATCCGTTGTGATGAGGGTGTCTGGGACTCATTACAGCAAATCTTCGCGTGAAATTATTTATCATTTATCATCATGTAGCAGGTCCTTTGCACAACGTCGCTCTCATCACAGTCTGCCTGAAAGAAACTCGGTCTCTCGCCAGTTCTCCCGCCTCATGCACTTTCACACTCAAGGAGTCACTTATATCCTGTGCCCATCTTCGTGTCAGTCGGCTTCTGCCCTTCCTTCCTGGTACCGTGCCTTCTGCTATAATTTTTTCCACTCCGACGTGGCATTTGATATGACCAAATTATTTCAGGTTTCGAGAAAGGATGCTGTTTATTAGCCAATTTTCCTTGATGTAGATTTTCAACTCCAAATTTTGCCCGGGCATCACCATTAGGCTACTCTTTTCAATTTCCAACTGCCTAGGGATTTTTTTCGTGCACAAAATGCACATGGGCGTCTGATCTCACTACCCAGAGACCAGGGGGAATTACTAGAAGTCCAGGTCCACGTGTGAAAAGAAAAATCTTTCTCTTCCCTTTCATCTGTCCAGCTATGAAGGCTCAGCTGATAGCTACCCTACCACTAGGGTAGCTCTCCAGGCCATTGAGAAACACACACTCACCCACCACATCAAAATGGAGACACTTTCTCTTCCCAGCATGCCACTGAAATGAATTACAGGGAATGTAGAGAGAATAAACAAGGAGAAAAATAAATCACAACAACTCAAGATTTATAAATCACAACAACTCAAGATGTATAAATCACAACAACTCAAGATGTATAAATCAGCATGTGAATTTTAATTGCATGTTAAATGTATTGGCTGCATGTAATAAACTTTCAATAAAAATGTATAAAGGCATAAATCTGTAAACATCATGGAGGCCTTATTGCATAGGCCCAAATATACTTCAGTAAACAAGAATCTGTATCTACACATTGAGACGTAATGGGTATGAAGAATTTTCCCCATGTGGGTTTCTAGATCTCACACTTTTTAGGACAGCCCGTTAACATGGAGAAGTTAGTATTGTGTCATTATCATACTGGCTGCATTTCCTTTTGAGAATATATATCTATCACCCATTTTAGCTGTGGCCATCTGGCAGCCCAAGCTAAGTTAAAAATAACCCCCCCCCCCAAAAAAAAAAAAGGATTAAAATATTTGCCCACTTGACTGACAGGCAAATCTGCAAGTCACTGTTAAAGGTTCTTCTTCCGCTCAGCATTCCGGGTCCTTGAGGTTCATTGCTGCAGATATCACCTACCTCCATTCATCTCTCTGGTTGGCCTTCTCTTTCCAGTTGGTGACACCAAGTGTTTGCAGGTTTGTCTGGATATTATCTCTCCATCGTCTTCTTGGTCTGCCTCATGGTCTACGACCATTCATCTCCCTCGTGTATACAGTTTTTTACTTCTCTGTTATCTGACATTCTTTCTGACATTATTTTGAAGTACAGTGAAAGGTTGGCTCCCCTAAATATGTATTCAGGTAATCAGGTAGTTGCACTTCCAACTATATAACAAACGAGTCACCCCTTAGTTGCTCCGTTCCTGTGCCAATGAAAACCACACAGAATGTCCAACATTGTCCTTTGTGAAAAAGAAAATTGACACAGACTGCATCCTCAGCATGCACTTAATGCATAAGGCAGATGTCAAAAATGATAAAACAAACAGTCCATCACTAGAAATGCAGTTCATCATAGAAGGAAACAGCTGTTACAACAGATCAGTAGTTGCACACGCAATTAGCTGCATGAGGCACCAACAGTTCTCTGTAAACAGGCCTTTTGCCATATTCAGAATCTGCATTCCACAACACAAACCATGTTGTGCAGTCGAAAAGCATTCCAAATGTAATCTGCAGCTCACAGTGTCAGGCCATGCATTCAGCTCAGTAGCTGGGCAATGGAACCTATCAGTCTATATATGGAGGAAAATGCAGCAGCTAACCACTGCCGGAAGCAAAAACTTGCCACAACTTAAAATCAGTAAACCTGCCAATCTGCCATTTATTTTCATTATCAATTTCCACTTTTGCCATTAAGTTTCATGGGAAGGAAGAGTTTGCAATCCATCGCTTGATGGCTAGCACTGGCTATTGTCATTCTGTGTGGATGTAGAAAGTCTTTAATGCCACAAGTCCGTCTTCTTATATGTTCGTATTTACAAACTTATAAATGCTATTACCGTTGAATATCTGTGCACAGTACCCCACTACTCACTGTACATTTACTGGCAAATCTAACTTTACAGATCGCTAAGTGGATTAAAAAAGACAGCGAAGTTCATACTAGAGACAACTCTGCAGATATAGATTATCTATTTCAAGCAAATGAAAAGATACATGATATGACTTTCCTAACTCCTTGTGCCTCATTCAGTTTGCTATGTTCTCCCACTTTATCCCTACTGTTACCTTAACTCTTTCTGTTCTGTTCAGCTTTTATATAAAAATAAATGTAAACGACTGGTTGGTTTCATTTCTATATATCTATATCTGTTTTTCATGTTGACAGTGACACATAGGGCATTCACAAGTTAGATGCATTGCTGCCGATTGGCTGTTTTTCTAGCTGGGGTATCTATTGTCATTTTACATTCCTTCATTTCCCTTTCTACTATCTTTCTTGGTTGGTTTCATAATGTTCAAGAAATGCTTAAATACCAGTGTTCGCACTTTAATTTTTGGGGTTTACCTAGTGCGTTCTCTGACCTCTCCATCTTTCCCACATCTTCTATGAGTGCTGACGAATAAATGTGGATTCATGTCTCAAATAACTGCAGCAGGAAACAAGAGTTAAAAATATGCATGCTGCTCTGACACCAGCTTATGTCTGTGAGGGTTTAGTCCAGCAATCACTGGGGCGGGGCTAGAGATACCCTCTGACCAATCAGAATGAGCAGAGTGTGGAGACGAGCTTGACCAATGACTTGGGGAGCCTGGTGATGGCGTGAGAAGATGATCTGGCTGGAACGAGCTAAAGGTGCTAGGCTGGTGTGGTGGAGAGTCTGTTATGTGTTGGCTGCTGTGTGATGGAGGTGTTGGGTACTGCTCGGGAGTCAATGCATAACTGCCTTGGATTTGTGGCTGAGGTTGCTGTACACTTTGCAGCTGCATCTGCTGATGATGCTGATGATGTTGCTGTTGCTGAAGGTGTTGTTGCTGCTGCTGCAACTGGAGCATTTTGTGCTGCATTGTAGTCAAGTAGACCTGCTCAGCTGTCTGTGAATCAGGTAGTTGTGTGGATCCATCAAGGAGGAATGATAATGGGAATTCACTAGTATACTGCAATGGACTGCTACGAGCTGCCTGCTGCTGTTGTACATGCTGCTGAAGAGCCTTGATATGTGTTGGAGACATTGACAGTTTTTTTGTTTGTATGGACGGTGACAATGTATGGCTTACAGACCCTGTTACAATACCACCAGTTGAACATCCAATCTTCTGGGGGTTCATACAATTTGAATTTGATAAATGAGTCACTGGTCCTCCATTAGTGTTTTGCTGCAGTAATATCTGCTGCTGAAGCAGCTGATTTTTATACTGAGGAATAGTCCACTCTGCAAGTAGATTTTCCACATCTGTTTGTTCAATGAGAGCAGGGGAGTTGAAATGTCCTCTGAGGAGCTGAAAGTCATCCTCAGGATTATTCCCATCACCTGGATCAGAAGGTAGCAGAAGCTGGGAACTCTCATACCTCGGCGAGGTCTCAAATCGTTGAGGAGAATGGTGTGAGTCAGAGGAGTAGCTTCCTGGGGAAACAGCACTCATTGGAGATGAATCGCTGTTCAACTGCTGAGAAATCTGCAAATGTTTTTGTAATGAAGATGATGCGGAAATCTGTTGATGGTGTTGCTCTTGCTGTTGTTGCTGCTGTTGGTTCATCTTGCTCCTGGCCCCACTTTCTTCACTTCCTTTCTTTTTCCTCGCCTTAACTTGCCTGTTCGGTACCTGGCTTTCTCCAATTCCGTTTTGTGGTGAGAATGAGCTTCGGCATTTTGCAGGGCCATTTTTAGTCTTCCGACTCCTGGTTTTCTGTTTAACTGGCTGAGCATACCCACAGACCCCAAAAGCGTGATTGGGTGAGCTGACGCCATTGAAGTGAAGAGCGGCAGGTGAAACCACCTTGTAATTGTCCAGCAGGTCAACAATGTGGTGGTGATGGTGCTCTAAGGCCACATCTCGTGGCAGGCGATCCATGTTGTCTGTTATTTCCCTGTTTGCATAATGATCCAGTAACACATTTACGGTTTCAAAGCAGCCTTCACGGGAAGCCACAAACAGAGGTGTTTCCTCCTGAAAGTAACCAGAAAACAGAGGTAACTATTGACTATAATTAACAGCTAAATATTGACAATACTAAACAAATAAATATAAACTCTAATAAGACCACAATAAACAAGAAATAACTGACCACAATGAACATGTAAATAATGACCCCAATAAACAATAGCCAGTGGCAGCCAACGTGCACTGGATCGCAAATTTTTCCTCCCCACGAAGCTCAACGGCAGAAGTGGTTTATGATGATGATGATGATAAACAGGTAAATAATGACCACAAAAAACAGGTAAATGCTAACCACAATAAACATGCAGATAATGATTATAATAAACATGTACATGTTGACCACAATTAAATATGACCAAGAAAAATAGAAAAATATTGACTTATAATAAACATGTAAATACTGACCATAACAAATGGCTAAATGTTGACTACAACATGAAACTACAAATACAAAATTACAATGCATGGAGTTCATAATCATTAGGGTTATTTCCATAATTAAGGAGCTAAGATGATGCAGTGGTTAGAGTGTTCACCTATCAAAATATTTATGTGGCTCAGTCAGCAGAAGTGGGTGGAATTCATTTTGTCTGATTATTACAGCTTCGGGGTCAAATATGTAAAATACAATTTGTAGAATTTTCTGGGAATTCTCGAAGAAGAAAAGGTGACAAGGAAAGGAGCTGGTGACACTCATCTCATATGCCATGGGTCTGGAGTATGTGAGGGCCTAACAATCTTCCAAAGGCCTGGGTCTGGAGTATGTGAGGGCCTAACAATCTTCCAAAGGCCTAAAAATCTTCCATCTTGCCAAAGTAGATGTATTCTAATTCTCTTACACTGACCACTTTCAGCCTGGTCAGATCACATTTCTGCTCTCTTTCCTGTCTGCTATATTTATGGTGACGTTTCTGGTCTCGATCTCATTTGGTTTTGGATTGTGTTCAGTATTTGTCACTTTCTATTTGTTGTGGTTTTCGCTTGATTGTCTGCTTTCGTAACTTGGCTGGCTAAAGTAGATGTAGCCCTAATACCTGCTTCCTAGTTCATTATCTGGATCAGCAGTTCTCAAACTTTTTCAGTTAAATGCACATGTTATCCTATTAATTAGAATTTTAATGGTAGATGCTCACGAAAACAAAACAAAAAAGTCCTTGGCTTTTTGATTCAGTTTTTAAATGTTTTTAAAAATTGTATTTATAATCAAACCGAAAAAATAAATTTTTATAACAAATTATGAGTATAAATACACTCAATTTCAAAACTGTTTATTCCCCTCCCCCTTTCCCCGGTTAAAAACCACTGTTTTAGACGAATGGCAACTGCTGGGACAGTAAAGAAGCAAGCAGACTTACCTTGACATTCTGGACATCTTTGTTTGCATTGTGTTGGAGCAACACAGTCACAGCGTCCACATTGTTGACCGCAGCCGCCCTGTGTAAAGCTGTACGACCTGTGTTCAATGAGAGTATAAAACCTTATAGCCCAGCATGTATAACTTTTGCTGTGCATCATATCAGTTTTCCTCACTTCTTTCTCTCAGTGTTCACTGGCTGTAAACTTCTGCAGAAAGTTCTGGTTGTTGATCCACTTTTGAACTTGAGTCTTACTCCAGAACTTTAGTTTTTGATGCACATCCGTTTTACAGATCTGGCTTCTTTGTATGCATATGGTTGGTTCTTTGCCACTCAGGCAGATGTACTCTGACTTTGGAGGAAACCCTTAATTAGTTGACTCTTACGACATACCTGTTGGGGAAGCAGTGGGTCTGTACCGTTTTCCACCCTACACTGAGACCCAAGAGCCCACATGGGTATCTTGTTTACTCAAATCAAATTATTCACGCAAGTAATCCTTTCATTCACTCATTTGTCCATCGTGACCGTTCATTCTAGAGCTCATCTCTTCACTAGGGAATGGTGGTTTGTGAAGTGGTCAGAACAGAAGCAGCAATTCAACTAGGACAAAACAGAACATTGAACTGATCCCAAATTATGCAGACAGAAAGAAACAGCCATTCACCAGTGTTTGCCCTGGTGAAACAGGCAATTACTTTCGAATGTAGTCGATTTTGTGTTTCAGCTGAAGGGATTCATTTATTAGCTTCAATTTAACCAGATGTTACTGTAGCATGCATCTGACAACAGTTACAACATAATATAGTGCAATATATGCAGAACCAACCAGTCTATATGATGTTCATTTCCCAACACATCTGCACAACCTGGAGAAAATATCCAAAGGGCACTAATTATCAGAGACCTCTGAAGCGATGGTTGCTGTCCCTTCTAGAAGGGAGCTTCTTTTCAGGGGGCTGAGTGGTCTCGACGTATGGCATTCGCCTCGTGTGCTGGAGGTCCTGGGTTCAAACCCCGGTGAAGACTGGGATTTTTTCATGTGGACTTCTAGCAATTTCCCCTGGTCTCTGGGTAATAAGATCAGACACTTGTGTGTATTGTTGCGCACATAAAAAAATCCCTTGGCAGTTGGAAATCGAAAAAGAGTAGCCTAACAGCAATGCCCTGGCAAAATTTGGAGTTAAAAATCAACCCAAAGTATTTCAGGATCCTTGCCGGTGCAACGAGTTAGACCCGTGTGCCATGATGGTGATCCGTTGAATAAACCATAAACCATAATCTTCTAGAAAACCCATAAAAAGGTACAAAATAAAACATCACATACCACAATTGTCTGCTGCTTCAATGTCAGCATCAGCAGCCAGTAGTTCCTCCACAGCCATTGTGTCCTCAATGGCATGATGGCAGGCTAGGATCAGAGGGGTTGTGCCACAGTGCATACGCGCATTTAAATTTGTGGATCTGTTTCGAAGCAGGATCTGTTGGTAACAATATGAAAATTATAATTTGTTTTCTTCAAAAAGTCTTATATGAGTTATATTAAGCTAGTCCTGGTGCATGGAAGTAAATCACAGTCATACACAATAGGGCATACAAAATGACTGCAATGATTCTGAACTGTTAACATTTAAAATTTGGCAATTATTCTCAATCTTTTTCTTCTTTGATCCTTCTGTCAGAAAACATATCAGGAGGCCGGTAGCCTTTATGAAAGCTATCATGCAGTCCATATCTTCTCATGTAACATACAGTTTTGTCTTCATTGTGGCTGGAACAGGCCAGATTGCGTCTCTGTTGTCATTCTCAATGATCCTGTATATCTATAATAATCACACTCATAAACATAAGTCACAGAGAAATCACACAAACATATTTAAGCAACAGATCACACACATATGTATTAATAAAAAGAGAATTATACATACATAAGACAGAGGTTCATGCACATTTATAAGTTATAAAGAGAATCACACAAGCATTAATCAATAACAAAGACAATCAAAACAAAGTGACAGAGTACCAAAAGGTAACACTGAGATTCTCTTTTTTATTCACACACACACACACACACACATACACGCACCCATGCATGTGCGTACACACACAATTAGTAACATGATGAATCACACACATATATATATATATAAGTAACAGACACTCACTCACTCCCACCCTACCTCCCACACACACATAAGTAACAGGCACTCACTCACTCCTACCCTACCTCCCACACACATAAGTAACAGACACTCACTCCCTCCTACCCTACCTCCCACACACATAAGTAACAGACACTCACTCACTCCTACCCTACCTCCCACACACATAAGTAACAGACACTCACTCCCACCCTACCTCCCACACACATAAGTAACAGACACTCACTCACTCCCACCCTACCTCCCACACACATAAGTAACAGACACTCACTCACTCCCACCCTACCTCCCACCCACATAAGTAACAGACACTTACTCACTCCCACCCTACCTCCCACCCACATAAGTAACAGACACTCCCACAAAAACACAGATAAACTATGACAGTCAATACACGGATGAAGCAGGTGCAGATCTGCTTACCTGAAAAACTCCTTGAGCCCCTGCTGCTATGGCAGTGTGGAGGGGCGTCCTTCCTGTGCTGTCTTCAATGTTGGGGTCAGCACCGGCATCCAGCAGCACCTTTGCTGCATCAGCTCTGGCGTAGCGTGCTGCTAGGTGCAGTGAAGTCTCCCCTGAAATATCCAAGTCATTAGTCCATAACACGGAAGAGTAGACTTTGAACATCATCAAAGTGAAATTTTTTAACCACAGCTGTGCTGATTCTAGTGTTATATTCTCATGGAGAACGCATAGAACTCTTCTTTTTCTAAGCATTCACCGTCTGTAAATTCTAGAAAATTCTGGTTTTTCGTCCACTCTGGACTTTGGTCTTGATCCAGAACTTAAGTTTTGTGTGCACAACTGTTTTACAGATCTGGCTTATTTATAAGCACACTGTTGGTTCCCGGCCTCTCAGAGAGATGTTCTCAGACTTTCAAAAGAAACGCTGCTAATTAGTCACCTCCTATGACATGCTTGTTTGAGAAAGGAGGAGGAGGGGGGGGGAATGGTCTATTCTCGGTTTTCCAAAATGAAGCCTTGGAACCCATATGGAGAGCACAGTGAATCAATTATCATGTAGATCCATGCAAAGTCTGAAAGCTGTTGTTGCATAGTAGCCTGCTCACTTCCCTGCTGGATTGGTGGCCACTTTGGAAAACCAGATTTCTTAAAAGTGCTCTGACCAAATGTAATAAATTAAAAAAAAAAACACAAGATGCAATGATGGGGATTCAAAAGAAAGCATTAATCCCACTTCATAAACAGTTACCTCTTCAGTCCCATAAGATCCCATAGGAGATGGCTAACAAATACTTAGCTGAGCAAAGAATAAAGCATACATGCATTACTTTCACAAAGGCAGCATTTAACTTAGAACATTAAAACATTCTATGCTAACGGGTCAAATGTTTATCAATAAAAATAAGATTACATCTTGCATTGTTTGGGACACATAGGCAGTGGCTGATCACATAAAATGTGTTGGTTGGGAGTGAATGAGTTAAAATCCTTACCTGTTCTGTCTGTTTTAGCATTGATAGCAGCACCCTGCATGAGAAGACTGGAGATCATATCCACAGTTGTGCTGTTCTCAGAGTCTCCTCCTTCACCAGATCCGGACCCAGAGTTGCTGTCTTCATCATCTCCACAGCCGCGCATGGAAGCCAGCATCAGAGGAGTTAAACCATCTTTTTGTTTTGCAAAAACAAGGAAAGTTTTTGATCAACCAAAATAAGGATAGTTTTCGATTAACCAATGTTTTAGTTCAGCATTATATATTTAAAAAAAATTATTTGTCTTATTCTTCTTCTTTATATTTAACGGCTGTAAACTTGTATGGAAAGTTCTACTTTTTCGTCCACATTTGCACCTTGGTCTCGTTCCAGAACTTGAGTTTTGTGTGTACAACTGTTTTACAGATCTGGCTTATTTGCATGCAAACTGTTGGTTCCTTGCCTCTCAGGCAGATGCAGTCCGACTTGGAAGGAAACCCCTAATTATCGTTAGGGAGGCCCCCTTCTCCCCCCTCCTCACAATGCGGCCCCCAAACCCACATGGGGAATTTTATTATAAGAGTTAACTCCCACAAATACCCCATTTGTCTACGTCACAGGTGAGCAATCTACATTCAGCAGTGCTGAAATAGTGCTCTCTGGCACCCTGGGCTCTCCGGCACCCTGGGCTCTCCAGCACCCTGAACTCTCCGGCACCCTGAACTCTCCCAGTAATATTTAGACAAGCTGAGGCCCACACTCCTCCCCTACCCAAAATATTTACATGGTGGGGGGGGGGGGGGGGGGGGGGGGGGGGGGAAAGGAAGTGTCAAGTAATCACCTATCCATGTATAGACAATATCTTTTCATGTATTTCTTTATACATTTCATATTATTTCAAATATATTATATATTTTACCCATTCAGCACGTAATAACAATCTTAATTATTATTTTTATTTTTGCACACTTAAACAAGTCAAGCCCCATATGGCTCACCCACTCTCTAATTCAACACACACGCAAATAATAATAAGATGGTTGAAAGTTTTGGAGATCCACTGCAGTCTATAAACTGTCATTTCAGACCCACATCTCTAGAGCCTCACCAGCTTCGAATTCAGAAATAAATAAACATTGTTTGAAAAAAATACCAGCAACAAATGAAAAGAAAAGAAATTAAAAGTCAATGAAAAAAAAAGTTAAAAAATAAAACTTGTTACTACAATTTAGAGTACTTAACTTCTTAGTTTGCCCTTCAAAGGTCAGTTGACATGTTGTGTTCTGTGCCTTTCAACCAAGTACATCTGGTCTGAGTGAAACCTTTTTTGGTTGTTATTTACAAAAAGCTTGTCAGGAGGCAGTGGACCTACTCCTCCCCCCACACCTCCTGATACAATAATTTGAAATTACCCCATGATGTCACGGTGACGTCACAGGAGACATTCAAATAATTTCTAGGGTGATAAGGTTGGGAGGATTTTTTCATTCTAGAGTGCATGGCAAAAGCGCACGCTTGTTGGCACCTCTTATGACGTGTGTTTACCGCGCGTCAGCAGTCTTCATCTTTGCGCGTCTGGTTGCAGCAGTTTTCATCTTTGCCATCCGTACCAGCCATGACTTTTCTACAATTAGTAGCATCTGTACGAGACAAGGAGACCTGCACTTCCTTCCTGCAACAGTATAGCATTCTGCACAGAACGAGACGTTGCAGAAACAACCATCAGATAGATGGTGTGTTATCGCTGTCAGAAAGACACACAACCGTTTGCCGGTGTCGACCTGTCGTCTGGACATACCCATATGGCAGATTGCAGACCTCTTTCCGGCGACTATACTGCCACTGCCAAGAGTATCCCCCGTGCCGCTATGCACGGCGAGAAGCGGAGCTAAACTAGATAACAGGGACTCACGAGCAGCAGCTACCGCATCTCCTGCAGCTTCCTCCTTTTTATTTGCTTGCGAGTCCCAGCCATCTAGTTTAGCTCCCTCCGCTAATGGGGTACGTAGAAATTATTGTACCCACCTCCCAAATGAGGCCGGGAAGCAACATGGGGATAGTACTAATCTAGGTTTAAGTAAAGGTTAAAGGTGAAAGAATCAGCTTCACTGCCACACAGCTCGGTCTCTCTTTGCAGAAAGGCTAGCTGCCTGCTGACAGCGTTACACAAAGATGAATTCCGTAGCTCAGGTGACAATGCATGTGGCTCTCCATAAAAAGTGCACTTGAAGCTTAACTCTTTGAGTCCCAAGGAACGCATCATACGTTCATAGATTCCTACCTATAGGCCCAATGAACACATGATGCGCTGATTTTACGTCTCTTTTGATTACCCCTTGGGCCTGTGATGCTAAACCCCTTGGGACTCAAAGAGTTAACAATGCAATGACATAAGTAGATGAAAATTACAAAGTACACTATATTAAGATTTAAAAACTGAGATTTGAGAACACTTACCTGGTCCTCTTACATTCACATCGGCTGTCTTCAAACTGTCCTCTCCTTGAGGAGGTGTCAGTGCGGACATTGGGTGGTGAGGAATGTTTGCAGCGTCCAGGTGTTTGGCAGTCCACTGTCTTGTGTCTAAGCTGTCAACAACGTGTCCTTGTCTCTCCATCTGACAACATGTGGCATTTCAAAAAATTGAAGTTGTGTCAAAAAATTTTAAAAACAAAAAACAAAAACAATAATGATTTTAGGGAAACAATTTTGCCAAAGTTAAAAATAATAATCATACAAATAACATTACTATCATTATCATGTGCATAGGGTATAATGATCTGTTGTCTCAAATGATCATTTCAGACTTTAATCAAGTCTATGTTCTTGCAAGCCATCCTGATGTTTATCTTTCTTTCTTCCACTTGTTCTATTCTTATTGTGTGCCATATGTCATCAAGTGCTCAAATTTATATCTTCATATAAATACCCATAGAATCCTGACTGCATACAAGTTATAAATGTTAAGTTTTTTCTATTAAACATAGTTTTCATACAGATTATAACTTTTCAGTTATTTTTCTAATCATCTGTTTCTGGAAGGACTGCATAATTTTACTATTATTATTATTTTTTTGGGTTTGACATTATGTTTTCCATCATTAATTTCTATCATAATATTTTATCTACATACACTGTTTTGCTATTGACTGGAACAGTTACACAATTTTTCAAGGAATTGAACATTTAATTTGTGATACAGTGAGGACCTGAGGGTTTTGCAAGGTTTCGAATGTGGACTCACTCTTGACATTAATGTTAGCAGCTTAAAAATAAGACTTTTTGCTGACAGACGGAATATTTCTCTAATTATATTGTATAGGATAAGAGTTAGATGCCCATTTTCAGAACTCTTCTTTGTCTCCATGTAACATGTAAATCATGTTCTCTCACCTTTGCCCTTTTCATCTGTGGACGGTCATCATCATCATATTCTTGCCAAAATTCATTACTGGGGGGAGGTGATGTGTGGTTGTCATTAGCATCCATGCTGTTGAATTTCTCCCTGAAGAAAGAAGGAAGAATTGCATATTTTTGTTGTACTTTTAGCTGCCTTTCCATGTGTCTGCTTCTGTAGTTACTGAGCAACAGTCAATACAATTACAATGGGCATACTACACACATATATGTACACTGTTACACAAACATATTTTACTAGGTAAAAAAAAAGCTAATGACCCATGTTCACACCATACAGTATGTTAGATATGTTACCCAGAGATAAATGAAATTATGGTTAGTAATATTTATAAAAAAGAATGCCCTGGTACTATCTGCCACAGCGAGCCACACTAAAACGTTACAACGGTTATAGAGCGAGTGGAAGACCTCAGAAAATATGGAGTGATGACATTAAGAACAGCCTTACAGAAATGAACATCAGTCTTAATAGTGCTCTTGACAGAACGAACATTACATCTTCCCCTGACACTTCGATAAGGTACAAGGTGGAAGAGAAGAAGAAAAAGAAGAAGAATTTTATGAAAAAGAAAGAAAAAAAACCCAGAAAAGTCACTAGGCAATCTACAGTTACAGAGAAAGGTAAGTAAAGTATGAAAAAGTAAGTAAAGGATCTTCTTCCAAGCCTTCAGGTTTGTGCGGGTATGTATGTCAGTGTGTGTGTTCGGTGTGTGACTGTGCACAGGCAGGGAAGATCTGAAAGCCAAGGTCACTTACAAAACTCAGCTCCACTGTGGATTATTCCAACCAAAGACCACTGGGCTGCCTAATTTTTAAAATCCAACTCAAAAAAAAAAAAAAAAAAAAAAAAAGATGCATGTTCTTTTCACCAATTTTAGACACAGTAACTTCTATAGACCACATCAAAATTAGCACATTTCAGACACCCACAAATATCCAACTAAACCCCCCCCCCCCCCCCACTCGATCACACACACAGAAACAGCGTGTACCTCTTGAGAGGTCATCTAAAATACATTCAAATGTATAAATCACTACACCCCTTGTGGGTTCCAGGACCCTACAATGCCGCTACTGCCCCTAACAAGCATGTCCTAGGATTTGACTAGCTAGGGATTTTTCTTTCAAAGTCAGAGTTCTTCTGCCTGAGAGGCGAGGGACCAACAGTTTGCATGCCAACAAGCCAGATCTGTAAAATGGATAAGCATCCAAAACTACAATTCTGAACAAAACCAAAGTCCAGATGTGGACAAACAACCAGTACTTTCCACCGGAGTTTACGCTAAGAAGAAGAAGAAGAAGAAGAAGAAGATAACTCACTGCATCTCCTCTCCTTCTGGTCCGTTGCGGCTCCGCACGGCTTTGGATGATTCATTTGACTGGTTGAAAAAACCTTCGGGGAACCAGGTGATGCCTCTGACTCTCTTGCGATTCAACACCACAATAACCACAAACGTTAGCAACACAATGGTTCCACAGATGACCACAAATATAACCAATATGTTGGAGTTGCTGTCCTCTTCTGATGGAACACCTGGTGAAGTTTCAGCTGAAAGATAAACGGTTATTAGAATTTGAATAAAAAGGATAAAGTGATATTGACCGCACAATTTATTTTCCCTATTTCCCGAATGAAGCATAGGCCCTCAACTCACTCAGACCAAGCTGCACTACTTTGTGCTATCCCATTAAGCTCAACCCATGTCTTTCCTCTCTTTTTTAACTTCATTCTTTATCTCCCTTCTCCATGTGTTCTTTAGTCTGTCTTTTATCTCCCTTCTCCATGTGTTCTTTAGTCTGTCTTTTATCTCCCTTCTCCATGTGTTCTTTAGTCTGTCTTTTATCTCCCTTCTCAGTGTGTTCGTTAGTCTGTCCTCTTCTTTTAGTCTGTCCTTTATCTCCCTTCTCTTGGATCATGGCACACCTGTCCCTTACAGAACGTCGCTCTCGTCATGGCACACCTGTCCTTTACGGAACGTCGCTCTCATTATGGCACACCTGTCCTTTACAGAACGTCGCTCTCATCATGGCACACCTGTCCCTTACAGAACGTCGCTCTCGTCATGGCACACCTGTCCTTTACAGAGCCTCACTCTCATCATGGCACACCTGAATGTCTCTCTTTCTCTAGCCAATTATTCCCTATGTGCTTTCATAGCAAATGCATCTTCAATGTCAAGTAAACAACTTCATGGAAGTCTGCTTCCGCCTTATTTTCCCGAAAATGGACACTCCATCACCATTCTCTTCAGGCCACTGTGACCTTTCGACTGTCCAAGGAATTTTAAATATTCTTCAGTAAAACCACAATCTCTATGGACCCAAGACTTTTTTATTTACTCATTTGCTGTTCATCTAGAAGTCAAGTGCATATGACAGAATTACAACAACATAAAAATGAAAAAGGGAGAGTGAGAGAACAGATGCTGGGCAATTGGACATCATGGTATAGAAGGTCATTTGTGTCTGATGTGATTGAAACTTCACGAGACAGAAGGTTGTGGATAGACATGACTACCAGCGCCATATGGCATGAAGTCTAGGAAGGAAGGAAGGAAGGAAAAATGAATTTAAAAAAATGAAATCTTTTATACCTGAAATGTGCAAGACAAACACAGACTTGTGTTTGGTTTATGAGTGTGTGCATGTTACATGTCTATCTACATGTATTGCTGTCTTAATCATGCATGCTAGATGGATGGATGGACAGACAAGCAGTTAGATAGATCAAAGGAAAAATAAATGAAATTATAAAAAGTAAGGGGGAAACAAAAAAAATCTAAAAAAAAAAAAAAAAAAGGAAGAAAGAAAGAAAGGCATACTGAAGAACAGAAGAAAAAGTAAGGAAACTAAAAAAAGAAGAGAAAGTAAGAAAGAAAGAATAAAACACATAGATAACAGTGAGCAAAAATCAGAAAAAAAGGAAGTAGTATAATACCAATGTCCTACAGTACACACAGAGGGCAGCACTTACTTCCAATCTGATGAATGGCCACTGCAGGCTGGAAACCTTTCTTGAGCAGTGATGCAACAACAAACTGTGCAATGTGGTCTGTACTGCTGAAACATTCCATGTTTTCTACCCGGTGGCAAGCCTGTGTGTCTATCTCCAAGTATACTTTGATGCTGTATGATAAGTTCATAAACAGAGTAAATGTGACAGATCTGTTGAGTTTTGATGATTTCTTCTTCTTCTTCTTTATCAAAAGTCGTCCCCTCGTGGGATGCAATTTTTTGTTATTTTAAGCCCCGCCCTGGCTTCTGCCAGGGGCCCTGAATATAGCCGGGGCATATCTATGGCCTAACTGCTGAAAGGGGTTTCTGGGATCTTTCCACGGGTGATCCTCATCCGCATGGTGGCACTATGTGTCATCGGGTGTTTATCGCGTGTGTGATGACCTGGTGGGGTACAACTACCTACCTACCTTCTTCTTCTTCGTCCTCTTCTTCTTCTTTTTTATTTTCACTCCTTCTTCTTCTACCGTCCCCCCCCCTCATCTCAGAATGGAGATATTTCATGCCAATCCTTTGTAGGTGAAATGTTACAGTGAAAGTTTCAAATGAAAGAGGTAGTCACATCCATGAACACCATCTTTATACTAGATACTTGGAAGTCACCGTGACCTAATGACTAGAAGCTCACCTGCCGGTCCGAAGGTCTTGGGTTCAAAACTGACTTAGTAGGCCCCCATGTTGACCCAGCCCAAATCTAGTATCGGGTAATTTTTGGGGGGAAAGTAAGGGTGGCTGGCAAGTGTGTATGTTGTTGTTTGTTTGCGTTCACTGGCTGTAAACCCTGGTGGAAAGACCGGGTTGTTTGTCCATTTCTGGACTTTGGCTTTGTTACAGGACCTGAGTTTTGTGTGTGCTTGCATCCATTTTACAGATCTTGCTTATCTGTATGCAGACTCAGGCAGATGCACTCTGACTTTTAAGGAAGCCCCAATTAGTTGCCTCTTAGGACATGCTTGCTGGGAAGGCAGTGGGTCTTCTCTCGTTTTTCCTAGAAGGGGACCCTCAACCCACCCATGGAGGTGGCTGGCATGTTCTGGATCACATGACCCAGCGAGTGCAGATTGGTCAATAGAAATAAGAATCTGGCATCATATGCTTGAAGCACCAATGATGTAAAAAATGGTTCTTGACTAACCGACGTACAAAATATTTGCTCATATTCCAAGATTCACTGCCATTCAGAAGAACAGCTTCAACATACATCTTGGCATATCTTTCTGATATTCAGTGAAAATGAGAAAACAGGAGAACAGCATAAATAGAATGTCTTTGCATTGGAACCCACAGGGGGCATAGGAATAAAGGAAGGCCAAAAAACACATGGAGTAAAGAGCTGTAGAAAGAAGTTAGAAAGATGGGTAGGACATGAGGAGAGCTCCATACAATGGCGAAGGATAGAACGACTTGGCGTGAGTTGGTTGAGGGCCTATGCTCCATTGGGGGATAGAAAGGCAGAAGAAGAAAGAATATTTGTGAAGTATGCTGACCTAATTCTCTCCACTTCATAGCTTTTCCTTCCTGCATAATGATTGGACCTCTTTGGCAATGATGAAAAAACCTAATTATCAATGAAACTTTCTTCTGCTTTTTCTTCTTCTTCTTCTTTTTCACGCTCCTTGGCTGTAAACTCCAAGGAAATTTTAAAAGAGTTTAATTTTCATTGTTGAAAGAGTTGTTATTGAAAAAGAAGAACCAATATTTAACATCATCATCATTAACTTCCCTTTTCAGTATATGGTGGTGAAGGGAGGAACATTTTCTGGCCATTGTCATTCTGTTTGGACACACAATTTCTTTAATGTTATACTCTGGACTATTGTTGCGGTGCAGCACCTACATTGTTTTCTGCATTTGTTTGTTTGTTGTTTGTTTGTTTTAGTATCCAGAAGCCATGAGTTGTTAACCCTTAGGCTCGGTATTATGGATATCGCAACCTTTCGGCCTTGATTCCATTTTAAATACCGTAAATCTGGGAGAAATGTGGCTTTTCTGCCCACCCCCGGGAGTGAACCCGGACCACAAGGAGTTCGTCACCCGCTCACCGCGAAATCCGGTTTAGCCAACTTCGCTAGAGAGACGGGCGTTTTCTGCATTTAAATGAGATGACCAAACCATTGTAATCTTCAATATCTCAAGGAATTTAGTGCAAGTTTTGTTCCAACTCCCTGTCTTCTGACTTGGCCTCAGATGGTCAACTTTTCTGTAGTCGATTCCAGGCCCCAATTTAGAGTGAAACAAGAAAAGACCAACTGCTCATTAAAAATTCTACCACAAAAGGCAACTGACTAAGGATTTGCTGAAATTTGATGTATTGAACTGAAAGGTGCAGATATCACGGCCTAGCTGTAAACCACAACATGGCATGCTACCTGACCTTTTAAGAGCAAATGCAGAAAAAGATGATTAACTTAGTGAAACAAGTGGTCCCCCCCCCCTCCCCCCCCAAAAAAAAATTACTTCTTTTTAAACACAAAAACATACATATATATACATATATATCTATAAACATACATATATTTATACATACCCAATTAGGATACTCCTCTTTTGTCTGAAATGCGTCTGCTCAAATAGTGAATTTGCCCATCTTCTGGTGCGCTGCAGTACAGAGCTATTGCTGTCGGAGCCTTCTCCTTGCCATGGATAAATCATTTCCTCTCCGGAGGCAGTTTTCTTGATTTGTACCACAGCGCGCAGAAGAAGGCCAAGCTGGCGTACAAAGTCATTTTTGATCTGCTGAAACTTCTCTGGCTCAACCAACACAATAATGAACAAGGATCCAGGAACAAGGTTGGATTTTCCTGAAACTAAAGCAACAATTTCTATTATCCTTATATCAAAACAAGCAGTTATCCTTATATCAAAACAAGCAGAGTTATCCTTTTATCAAAACAACCATGTTACCCTTATATCAAAACAAGCAGAGTTATCCTTTTATCAAACAACCATGTTACCCTTATATCAAAACATGCAGAGTTATCCTTATATCAAAACAAGCAGATACTTTCTTGTCTTGAATATTAATATTTTTTTATATACTTAATCAATACTGTGGTAGGAATCGGTGTGCTTATAGTTGGGAAATGATGATTCAACACACGATAATGGAAAGCTCTTAAAGGAGCTGGCCATGGAGTTTACAGTCCCAGCTTATTTTTGCTGTGGACTTCAGCAAACCTAATTCAAATCATGTTTCTGTGTCCCAGACACCTAGAACACTCATGTAATCACATCATAGTGAAAGGCAAAAGTTTCTGAATCACTCACTATATTCCAACTGCCAAGCCACACGAGTGAGTGAGTGAGTGAGTGATGTTCAATCCCAGTAGGACCGCACAATGAGCGATTAACACCCTGTGGCACAAAGTGCCACCAGTCGGATGAGAATCTCCAAGGCTCAAGTCCCAGAAACCTTATTCAACCGTTAGGTTATATTAGGGCTCCCAACAACAGCCAGGGTGGGCTTTTAAAATAAAAAAGTGAGTTAGTTGAGGGTCTATGCTCCATTGGGGGTTAGAAAGGCAGAAGAAGAATTTTAACAAATCATTGACCTTAACATTGCACCTTACTGAATGACTCACCTGTCTCACAGTCAAGTCCGTCCCAGTCGCACTCGACATTGTTGCAGCCGTGGTCACAGTGACCATTGTTGTAGTTCATCATGCAGTAATTCTCGTACAGACAACTGCTGACCGGCTGCTGGCAGTCGAACCCGTCATACAGACAGTTCTGGTTGTTGCATTCCTGGTCACATTCTCCATTCTTAAACACCTGGCAAAGAAAACCAAATGTACTATCTTACTTCTTCTTGCCTGTTTGGTTTGCTTCAATAAATAAAGCCCATCTATGTTATTATTTTTGATGAATCTGCAGGAAAACTGAGTTTTAACTTTTAGGTCTGATAATTCGGTGTTCAGTGGTTAAGGGGTCAGTGAATGTGTTTAACAATGTCATGATCCTTGGTTACTAGGGTTTTATTTATACGGTGCATGTTTACTTAAAAAAAAAAGCTTGTTTTTGGACGGTGGTAGAAAGTGACACTGTATAAGAGATTAAGGCACTTTGTTGACACCTTATCTTCTTTCCAGATGAGTGTTATACCATGGTATAGAAAGGCATTGGACACTCTCACAGATAAACAGACCAGCTAAAAGCCAGGGAGAAAGCAGACTGACTGAAGTAATTAGTGACTTTTTGTCTTTCTCACCCTCATCTCTTTTTTATTTCAAGTACTTCTTCTTCTTCTTCATGGCCAGCGGCTGTAAACTCTGGCAGACATTTCTGGCTGTTTGTCTACTTCTGGAATTTAGTTTTCTTCCAGAACAAGGGTTTTGTGTGCACATCTGTTTCAGATTTTGCTTATTTTTATGCAGCCTTCAAAGGAAATACCCCTCCTAATTAGTCAACTTTTACAACATGTATATTAGGGTGGCAGTGGGTCTATTCTTTCCCTTTTTTGTCTTCTACCACAATGGGGCCCAGGGATCCACAAGAAAGACTCCCTATAGATAACAGACAGACAGAAGAAAAGAAAGATGGATTGACTGACTAAATTAGTGAATTTTAGTCTCCCCCCCCCCCCCCCTAACTTCCCCATCTCTTATCTTTTTCTTTAAAGTACTGCCTCCACAAGGGAGAATGGCTGCTTTGCATATGTGCTACCATTTTTCTTCACGAATATTACACAGTGAGATCTTAGTCTCTTCCACAATGTGACTCTCACACCAGTGTTTAAAGCCATGAGAATATGGTCTTCTTCTAACTGCTAGCCAGACAAAAAATACATCCTGATACACTGAGGATTAGCACGTGTATTCACTAACCTATTTACTCATCTCTAAACCAGACAGACACACAATGTCTGATTTAATACAGAAAACTCCGAAACATATCTTACAAGAATCAAGTAGGACAACACTTGCATAAACAATATTAATACCTGCCAACAGTAACGTCCATTCACTTGCTGTGTACAGTTCCTCCATGGCCGTGTTCCGTACGAGCATTCTGTATTGTCGTAGTTGCATTCAATGAGGTTACATTCCATCTGCAACAGGTTAATAGGTTAAAATATTGTTTACATTGTTTTTATCATCAGCTTTCTAGCTGTATTTAAAAAAAAACAGGAATTTCTTTTTTAAATTTAAAGCACATCACAGAATTATTACATTAAAAATACACAAATAATTTATCTTTTAGTTTATTGGACACAGAGGAGAGGGTCTGGCCGGCTCACTACACAGAGGAAAGGCAAGACGTACATATAACCAGATTGTGACCGGTACCATCAGGATTGTAACTCTGCACTGGCTGCTGAAGATGAGGATGGAGCATGCATGGGAATGCCCTGAGTGCCATGATGTAAATTCTTGACTCAACTCAACTCAACACAAGAGATTAAATAATTTTATTTTACAAAATTCATCTACAATTTTACCTTAGTATATATAAATATAACAACTGAGCCACATTTTTTTAGTCAAGATATAACATTTTAGCTATCACGAACTAAAACATTTCAAGTCCTATTTATATTTGACACTTCTGAAGTGAACAGGGAATCACTAGTATCAACAGTTATCAGACACAGAAGATGGTGATATATTAGACACATCTGAAGTGAACAGGGAATCACTAGTATCAACAGTTATCAGACACAGAAGATGGTGATATATTAGACACTTCTGAAGTGAACAGGGAATCACCAAAACAGGCACTGAACTGGTAAATAGAGGGGTTGAGGAAACGACATCCAAAGTGTAACCCTAAAACGAACATCGATAAGAGAAGTCAAAGGTGTTGAACTGGATTCCATCAGTGATATCAAAATGATTGCCGAGGATAAAATGGAATAGAGAAACAGACTGTGAGCCCTCTTTGTTCGCATTTGAGGCTGGGTTGACTGAGAGTCAAGGTCATATTTTTAAAAGGTCTGGCTTCATCAGGAATAATAAAATATAACAACAACAAAAAGAACACTCACGTCACAGATGTTGTTGTAGGCTTTGTCTGGACAATTATTCTTCAGACAGATTTCTGGAAGCAGGTCCCCTGATGGAGAATCTGCCGTTCCGATGCCTCCAATGAAGTTCTTGTCGTAAACCTCACAGCTGATGCCTCTCCACATCTTTGGGCACAGGCACTCTGAGAATCCTGGCAAATAATATTCAGACTGTTATGCTCTTGACTTATATCAGTCATGAAATAACAATGATGTTTCTCGCTCTCTTTCTCTCTCAAACACACACATAATGAGGGAGCAAGATAGACAGACATAGGGGAAGAGAGACAAAGGTGAAGAGACAGAAAGTGAAAGGAGAGAAAGAAAAACAGAGTCAGAGAAAGGGGGAAGAGGGAGAGAGAGGGAGAGAGAGGGAGAGAGAGAGATAGAGAGAGAGATAGAGAGGTGCATACATACAGACAAGAATATCTCTGTATAAGTTTTTATTTATGTTTCTTAATTTTTTTCTCCATCTATACACAAGGGAGGTATATTATTTATGTGATCCGTATTTTCTTTTCTGTCAGCCTAGAGCCCTTGTAAGGTGTGTATACATGTGTGCGCTTACTGGACCTTTACAAGATCTTAACTCATATGTATGTGTCACTTTATTCAGTCATATCCTGCTGCAAACATGTTATTGTTTTTAACTTTTAAAATGAAGAGTGGAATGGAAGACTAGACTGCAAGCCTTTATGGTGTACCAGCATAATGGTTCGACATGATGATGATAAAATGAACACCAGATAACTGTGCAGATTTTCTGGGGAAAAAAGGCATCAAGCAAGCAAACAGCAGTAGTGTTATTGTTCTCCTTCTTCACATTCACTGGCTGTAAACTCTGGTGGAAATTCTGCTTGTTCCTCCACCTCTGGACTTTATTCTTGTTCCTGAACCTGAGTGTTGCATGCATATATGTTTTACAGATCTGAGTTATTTGTAGATGGGCAGATGCACTCCGATTTCAAAGGAAGCCTCCAAATAGTCAACTCTTGAGACAAGCTTTTTCGGGAGGCAGCGGGTCTATTCTTGTTTTCCCCACTGAAAAACCACATGGGGAAGCAGTATGTTAATGACCCGAGTGCACTGATGTCAATTCTTGATTCATCCATCTATCCAAGACTGACAGATAACACAGTCTCTTTCAGCAATGATGACAAATAAAAATATGAAATACTATCATTTTAAACTCTGATTACAATATTTACTGCGAGACTTTTTTCTTCTGTTAGTTCCAAATAACTCACCAATCCTGTTAAGACATGTCCCACCATTTCGGCATGCTCTGCTCTTGCAGTCGTCCCTGGTGTCAGTCTCACAATTGACTCCTGTACTTCCAGCAGGACACAAACATTCATACCCTACTGCAGTCGTGGAGCATGTTCCCTGGTTCTTACACGGGTTTGGGTCACAATCAGTTATCTCCACCTGGCAGAATTCTCCCATGAAGCCCTGGATTGACAAATCAAGAAGATGGAAAACAGAAAAATAATAGTATTGAGTCCTGTTGCTAGTGAGACAATCGTCTGTGTTCAGTCATTACTCTTTTTAATCTGTTCATAGTGCTTTCATCATTCATCTACAAAATCATATCTCGGCAACTTCCACATCTCAGGCATGCTCTGTGCAAAGTGGTAAGCATCACTTCTGAGGTCCTGGGTAGTTAGCCTCCTTTGGATATTTTCTCCAGGTGACGCCGGTGTGTTGGAAAACAAGCAGGCAGATAGACTGGCTGGTTCTGCACCAGTTGGTGGTGAACTGATGTATGACAAGCTAGATGTTGTGAGGGCGTTTTTGGAACCAGTGAAAAGTTCAGAGAAGACAGAGAAGATTACATGGAATATTCGTAATTTCAGCCACTTTTACTTCCCAATATTTTCTGGTACCTATTTTGTGTGTGTGTTAGGCAGAGCCAGAAGTAACCTTGACTGAGATTTAAAACCAGACCACCAGGATGATAGGCAAGCATGCTAGCCATTCTGACATCATGGATTACGTATACATCTTAATCTCTATATTAATACTCCATAACAAAAAAGTATTAAGTGCATAATGACAAATATTAGCTTCATAACAACAAGTAATAATTTCATAACAACAACTATTAACTTCATAACAACAAGTAATAATTTCATAACAACAACTATTAACTTCATAACAAAAAGTATTAACTTCAGAACAAGTATTAACTTCCTAACAACAAATATTAACTTCATAACAACAAGTAATAATTTCATAACAACAACTATTAACTTCATAACAACAAGTATTAACTTCAGAACAAGTATTAACTTCCTAACAACAAATATTAACTTCATAACAACAAGTAATAATTTCATAACAACAACTAATAACTTCATAACAACAAGTATTAACTTCAGAACAAGTATTAACTTCCTAACAACAAATATTAACTTCATAACAACAAGTAATAATTTCATAACAACAACTAATAACTTCCTAACAACAAATATTAACTTCAGAACAACAAGTAATAATTTCATGACAACAACTATTTACTTCATAACAACAAGTATTAACTTTGTAACAAAACAAAAAACCAACAGGTCATTGAGAAAAGGACATTAAAGGAGAGAGATGAGACTTCACTGCACTGAGTTTTCTCTCTCCTGACTCAGTTACTCTCTTCAGAATTGCTGACCTTTTTCTTCTTAGTGTTTACTGGCTGTAAACTTTGGCAGAAAGTCCTGGTTGTTCATCCACTTTTAGACTTTGGTCTTGTTCCAGGACTTCATATTTTTATGTTCACCTCCATTTCACAGATCTGGCTTGTGTGTGCAGATAATGGTTCGCGACCTCTCCGACAGATGCACTCTGACCTCTACAATTGGCCAGGTCTCCGGTTGGAAACCTGTTTCTAGGATGACCCCCAGAGAAGTCTGGATAAGTTTTGACCAGTATGAGCCTTGGCCCTGGTGCATCACCACATGTGGTTCAGTATCTCTGTAGGCTGCTGGTCACCCCACCACATGTGGTTCAGTACCTCTGTAGGCTGCTGGTCGTACCACATGTGGTTCAGTACCTCTGTAGGCTGCTGGTCGTACCACATGTGGTTCAGTACCTCTGTAGGCTGCTGGTCGTACCACATGTGGTTCAGTACCTCTGTAGGCTGCTGGTCGCACCACCACATGTGGTTCAGTATCTCTGTAGGCTGCTGGTCGCACCACCACATGTGGTTCAGTACCTCTGTAGGCTGCTGGTCGCACCACCACATGTGGTTCAGTACCTCTGTAGGCTGCTGGTCGCACCACCACATGTGGTTCAGTACCTCTGTAGGCTGCTGGTCGCACCACCACATGTGGTTCAGTACCTCTGTAGGCTGCTGGTCGCACCACCACATGTGGTTCAGTACCTCTGTAGGCTGCTGGTCGCACCACCACATGTGGTTCAGTACCTCTGTAGGCTGCTGGTCGCACCACCACATGTGGTTCAGTAGGCTCTGGTCGCAGTGGTTCAGCTCTGTAGTCTGCTGGTCGCACCACCACATGTGGTTCAGTATCTCTGTAGGCTGCTGGTCGCACCACCACATGTGGTTCAGTATCTCTGTAGGCTGCTGGTCGCACCACCACATGTGGTTCAGTATCTCTGTAGGCTGCTGGTCGCACCACCACATGTGGTTCAGTATCTCTGTAGGCTGCTGGTCGCACCACCACATGTGGTTCAGTATCTCTGTAGGCTGCTGGTCGCACCACCACATGTGGTTCAGTATCCTCTGTAGGGCTGCTGGTCGCACCACCACATGTGGTTCAGTACCTCTGTAGGCTGCTGGTCGCACCACCACATGTGGTTCAGTACCTCTGTAGGCTGCTGGTCGCACCACCACATGTGGTTCAGTACCTCTGTAGGCTGCTGGTCGCACCACCACATGTGGTTCAGTATCTCTGTAGGCTGCTGGTCGCACCACCACATGTGGTTCAGTATCTCTGTAGGCTGCTGGTCGCACCACCACATGTGGTTCAGTATCTCTGTAGGCTGCTGGTCGCACCACCACATGTGGTTCAGTACCTCTGTAGGCTGCTGGTCACCCCACCACATGTGGTTCAGTACCTCTGTAGGCTGCTGGTCGCCCCAAGGAGAGTGTCACCTCAGCCTTAATGACAACTTCCCAGGGTTACAAAGAAATAGGCTCCAGGAACCAAATGCCCAAACCTGAGAGAACCCATGATTTTCAGAGTGCTGATGCCTTTAACACATCCCCACCCATACTCCCAAGATCAAAACCATCATCATGTACCCTGCCAGGTAGCATAGATGCTCATGTCTCTCAGCAGATCTTGGTCCTTGGTATTTTTAATCAATTCCAATTCTGATATTCCACCATGCCAATCTTCAGGCTGTTAATCATCATCTCTCTTGTTCTGCCTCTTCTACCCTTGATCTTCCCAATCATCACAGTGTTCTCCACTGCCTCTCTTCTTATCACATGATCAAGAACACTGACTGCTTCTTTCATAAAGTTATTTTTAATTTTCTAATTTCATTAGCCATTTTCATGCAGTCACTGGTAATCACTCTGTCATTGGTCAAAATATATCTATAAAAATGGAAATCTTACATGTGCACATGTGCAGTTTGCACCAAAGTCTGTGTCTCGACATTTTCCTCCATGCTGGCATGGGTTCTGGTCACATCGTAGTCGTATGTTGCAAGTGGTTCCTGCAAATATTGTGGCAAAACAAATTTTAAATAATCTATGTTACTGTCCCCAAATAACAACAGATTAATAGCTAATACCGAGGTAAAACAGATTCTAAGTAATCCATACCGTTTTTGTCCACAAACAATAAAATGAAAGCAAATATTGTGTCAAATTGATTCTAAATAAGTTATACTGTTACTGCTTTCTAACACATAATAAAATAACATCAAATAATCTGGAAAACAGTATCTAAGTAATCCAAATTGCAATTCTCCACATACACAAAAATAACAGAATAAAAGGGAGCTGATTTAGAGAAAAATTACCTTGGCTGCTATTTTAAACATTTTGTGTAGTGTTAATCATTTAAAAATATTCATTATGACATTAAAAAACTTCCTGAAAAAGCTGCTAACCATTTGTTTACTTCTAGCTGACTGAAGAGGCCAGATTTTTCTCCAAACATATACTATAATTTTGGCTTTAATATATTGGATATTACTGACATTTATTCATCACATGCAGATGACTTACCTGCCCATCCAGCCTTACACTCGCAACGATATGTGTTGTTCAGTTGTATGCAATCTTGGGTTCCATATGGATCACAGGGGTTCGAAAGACACTCATTGACATCTCCCTCACACTGGTGACCAACAAATCCATCTGGACAGACACATCTGTAGCCACCCACCTGGTGGATAGAGCAAATTTTTGAGAATTTAAAGGTTGAATTATTCTGCTACATTTATATTTATGTTGTATATTTAGAACACAAGTACAGACATTATGGTAAGCCCAAAAGGAATAAAAGGCAACCAGAAGTTTTGTTTTTAAATTCTAGGGAAAAAACTTAGAAAAAAACAAAAATGTTACGTGCCCCCACCCCCACTCCACTACAGTGTGCCTTAGAAATATTGATTCCAAATACCAAAAAGGAAATTAGAGATTTTCTTTCCTCACAAAATGTCTATCAATATATAATGTACACCATGAACAACTCTGGTGAGAACTTTATTATAAATAAAAAACAATTCTGACACCAAAAAGCATCATTCTGTTAAAATATTTTCAACAACAACAAATCACAACTGCAACCATCATTGACAACAGACGTGACCTCCTCACCTCATCCACACAAGTTCCCCCATTGTGACAGGAGTTGTACATGCAGTCATTGTCATTAACCTCACACAGAAAACCAGCTGTTCCTGGAGGACAGGAACATTCAAAGTTGTTGATCAGGTCGTGGCAAGTTCCTCCGTTAGTACATGGCTGAGTGGCACATTCGTCAATATCCACCTCACAGTTCTGACCCTAGAAATAGAAACAATGGCATTAGAAAACCTGTGGTCTGCAGTTTATTTGATACTCTATCATTACTGTTTTGTGTTGTGAAATGTCTGCTGACTAGACATCGACCTGACTGCTTCAAGATACTAAGCTAAGTGATTCTATGTCTTTGTGTAGTATTGTTTTATTTATGTGAGTGCAGATGAAGGCTCCATAGCTGCAACGTTCACATTGTGTTTGTGTTTGTTATACTGTGAAGCTTGATGATATACTTTTCTTTGGTTTTATATCTTTTCTTGATTTGTGTGTGTTGTGTATCATTCAGTTCATAAGTGCAGTGTTTGCAGAGATTTTCACTATAGTTAAAAAGTTAATACTTTATAAGATGCTCTTAGCAAGCAGCTAGCCATTTTGTGGACAGTGACTGAGATGTATGGGATAACCTAGTGCAATAAAGTCGATATTTTCAACTTTAGCCTTTAACTTTGACTGTAGAAATTCCCATCACACACTGTTTGAGACTTCAAGAATTAATGGATGAGTCAGTAAACAAAGGTTGGTTTTCCACTGACTAAAATTTGAGTGTTTTCATCAACTAACAAACATACTGTCGTCTCATAAAAACAACAAAAACATTGGCTGACACAGCAAGAAAAATAAATTATGAGGTATTAAATGACACTCAAACAAGTGAAGGAAGTAAGGTGAGTTTAGCGGAGACACTAGAATATACTGACTGAATGATAAAGTGTAGTTACACAGTATTAAAACTTGCCACCTTGAAATTATGACAGTGCTTCATTGAAAAAAACTGACATTCATTAAAAAAAAGTGCCTTTATTAGCCATGTTATTTGTCAACTGAATTCACGACTACAGAATTCTGACACACTCCAGCCTGCCCTTTCCACAATGTCTAATGTTTTCTCTGAATCATATTACTGTTCTTTTCTTGCACGAGTGTCAATAATTACCTGTGGATTTATTTCTATGCTACTTCAGTTGCCTGGGGATCCCCAAATTACTATTTATTGATTGACTGATATGTTCAGCTTTCTATTTTTAAGGTATTTTAAAATTGTTTTTCTATTCCTGGGAGGAATCTCAACTGACAGATAAATGACTTTGTGTATTTGTGTTAGTATCGTTGTACCTTTGTGTAAAATGCCGATGAAGATTTTCTAGCCCAATGTTTATATTTCACTCGTGATTGTGACAACGTTAAGCTAATTAGTTTTACTTTTCGTTTGGATCTGATATTTTGTCAAGGTATTTTTAAGAGACAATTGGCAATATCTAGCAAACACGGCTAAAAGTTTATAGAGAAATCATGCACACACACACAATATACTGAGAATATGGAACCAAAAGTTTAACTTACCTGGAAACCTTTAGCACAATGGCAGGCATACTTTCCAACCAAATCCTGGCAGGTGGCACCATTCAAGCAAGGTGCAGAAATGCACTCATTGACTTCTGTCTCACAGTAAGAACCCTGAAAACCTTTCCGACAAGAACACTCATGTGTGCTCCCTTTGTTGTGACAAGTCCCATTGTGTTTGCACAGCTCTGATGAAGATACACCTGAAATAACATAATTAGGTTTATCATTCATCTGTAGTATATGTGAAATTGTATCTGATAAAATGCTTTGAAGTCTTCTAATCAGTTTACTTTCCAGTTAGTGACTCCCAGTGTTTGTAGGTCTGCCTTTATATTATCTCTCCACAATCTTCTTGGTCTGCCTCATGCTCTACTCCCGTTCAACCCTTTTGTGTACGAATGTTGTCTCTCTTATATCTGGCATTCTCTCCATATGACCCAACCATTGTAGTCTGTTAGCCCTCATGATGCCAATAATTATTGGTGGTTTATCAATATCACCGTTGCATGGTACTCTAAGAATGTTTCCGGTAATATTTAAGTTTATAAGACCAGAATTTGTGCTTTAGTGGTTGTGAAATGGACTAGGTCAGGGATGTTCAACAAAGTTTACTCAAGAATCAACATTTTGAAAATAAGGATCGTCACGGGCCAGAGGCTCAAGCCTGGAACGGAAGAGAAAGATCATTAGTACAATACAAATGCCAATGATCTGCGGGCCACTTGCTAGGTCTCTGTGGGCCAGATAAGCCCGTGGGCCGCCAGTTGAACAGCTGTGGTCTAGGCCAAATATGTATGTTTTCACAGGAAAGATACATGTTCTCAAAATAACATATTCTCGAATTAGTTCATAATCTTATGGATAACAATAATATATACTAAGGCTGTACCGAATAGTGATTTTCACTATTTGGCTGAATACGAATAACAGGACCAACTATTCGGCCGAATATGAATAGTGTATGAAATATACTTAAAAAAAACAACAACAAAAAACACACACACAATTTGTGACACCAGTTGTTTGCAGGTCTGGCTGGACATTATCTCTCAATATTTTTTTTTTTTTTTTGTTGGGTCTGGGGGGGGGGGGGGGGGGGGGGGGGGGTCTGCCTCGTGGTCTATGCCCATTCCTCTCTCAGGTGTATACAGTTTTACTTCTCTGCCTTCTGACATTCTTTCAATATGCCTCAACCATTTTAGTCTATTAGCTCTCATGATGCCAGTGATCAATGGTGATTTAAACAGATTATGTGTTACGCTGTTGCTTCTCACTCTCCATTCCCTGCTATTAGCATCTTTGATAGGTCCAAAGATTTTTCGTACGACTGTTTTTGAAAACCTGTAATAAGGCCTCATCTTTTTCATTTCTGCTTTCAAGTTTCAGAGCCAAATAAAACGACTGGTCTTATCAACATTTTATATATTTTGATCTTGGTGTTGCGGGACAGACACTTTGACTTTAGCGAATGTTGAAGGGCATAGTATACTTTATTTCTAGATTGTATTCTAGATTGTATTTCTTCTCTCAGCATGTTGGAGCAGTTGAAGTTTGCCCCTAATTACTTATATGTTTCCGTTCGTTTGATTTTCATATTATGGACTTGGATGTGGCCGGAGTTTATATTCTTTCCATGTCTAGTTAGTATTCGTACAGAATAGTAAACATTTAAAAACATTTTATGTTTTGCTTCCTTCAGTCAGTCTGTGATAACTAATAACTAGGAATGAAAGAATCCTAAGTATTATAACAAGTAACTAAACTTGGAAATTGTCACTGACAGCTTAGTTAATGCATGAAAGCTGCATTAGCTTTTAACAAAACCAATCGTTCTATGTTGTCAGTATTAAGACCGTGAATGCAGAAGCGGGTGTAAGGTAACTACTATTCGTATTCAGCTTGACCGCAACTATTTGGCCAAATACTGAATAGTCAATAGGTCCATTATTCGGCCCCGAAGTGAATACAAAGCGAATATTCGGTACAGCCCTAATATATATACACACACATATATGAGTTGAGTTGATTCAAGAACTGACATTACAGCATTCGGGGGCATTCCCATAAGTGCTCCGTCTCCATCCTCAGCAGCCATTGAAGAGTTCCAATAATAATGGGGCATTCTGATTAAACGTTCATCCTGCCTTTCCCCTTAGCCTTGAGCATCTGCCAGAACCTCGCGTCACTCCCCGCTGCATCAATCTCACCAGACTGTGGTGATCCATCTGCTCCTCCTAACTGTACACTCTCTCACAAGGCACTAACCACGTCTGCCCTATCATGCATCAACATTCCACCAAGCTGTGCAGAGCCAGCCAGTCTATCTGCCTGTTCATACACACACATACATATATAGCTGTAATCAGTACCTTTCTGAGATGCTGCAATGTCACACGACAGAGATGGGATATCACACAGCTTGCCTGTCCAATGACTGTTGCACCGACAGACATAGTCATTAGCTCTCTGCTCACATTCTGCTCCGTTTTGACATGGGGCAGAACTACACCAGTCTACAAAGCTCTGTTTGAATACAGAAACACATTCAGCTGATTTCAACACTTTCAAGATATGTTACTACTATATCTGTTATTATTATATATGTTATAATTACCATTATACCTGTTATCATTACCATAACATTTGTTATCATTCCATTATGTATACTTGTATGATTATCTTACAACTATATATACGTTGCTTTTACAGTTGGTACCATTACCAACCAATTCATCAGGTAATCACAGTTACAATGTCACAACAAACATTTAACCCCAAAGTTGCCCCGTTTTCATGCCAAAGAAAACCCCACAGAATTCTCATCACTTCCCCTTGTGAAAAAACAGACTACGGTCTCAGCAAAGTCAATAGCATGCACATGCATTCAATGCATAAGGCAGCTGTCAGAAGTGTTCTTTCTGACTGCATTAAGTTCTCTTAGCCCTTTTCCAAATGTTCTGATGGTATGGAACTGTAAACATTCTTGTATACAACCACATCTCTGAGGAGTTAAAGGGTTTGTTTGGGGCACCTAGTTTACCCTTATCAGGATTCACAATTGAGTTGAGTTTCAAGAACTGACATCATGTAACTTGGGAAATTTACATACTGCTTTGTCCCCATCTTCAACAGCCAGCGAAGAGTTCCAACTCTGGTGGACGACAGCAATATGACTGTGTGTCCATCTTGCCTTTTCTCTGAGTGTGGATTGTTAGCTAGATTCCCTGGTCCTTCCCCACTGCGCCATTCTCTTTAGATCGTAGTGATCTACAGCCACGATTCACAGCTCTGTGTTAAAATCACCTCTGTATAACATGCAATTCACAGCTCAGTGTTAAAATCACCTCTGTATAACATGCAATTCACAGCTCTGTGCTAAAATCACCTCTGTATAACATGCAATTCACAGTTCTGTGTTAAAATTACCTCTGTATAACATGCAATTCACAGCTCTGTGTTAAAATCACCTCTGTATAACATGCAATTCACAGTTCTGTGTTAAAATCACCTCTGTATAACATGCAATTCACAGCTCTGTGTTAAAATCACCTCTGTATAACATGCAATTCACAGTTCTGTGTTAAAATCACCTCTGTATAACATGCAATTCACAGTTCTGTGTTAAAATCAGCTCTGTATAACATGCAATAATATTTCAAACCCCCAATGAAAATGATTTACAGCGTCAGATGTAATTAATTTTACAATCTGTTTATAACTGCTTCATTGTCCATTTGTGTCATGTGCTAATAAAGGCATTCTAGCTGAAATGTTATTTTTTTAAATTCCAGATTGTATACTATTGCACCATATGGAGCTCTGTCACTCTGAAATAATGGAAGCAGACTAGAGGTCGACCAAGCAAGCAATGGATAGATAGAATATTCTAAACCATAAATAATATACAGGCATCTTTGCAGCACATACCAAGGCTCGCAACTGAGGTATCTTCAAACCCTGATGATGAAAGGCAGAATAGGACCAGAGGAGGAGAAGAAGCAACAAAAAAAAAAAAAGAAGAAGAAGAAGAAGAAGAAGAAGAAGAAGAAAAAGAAGAAGAAAAGGAGGAGTAGAAGGAGGAGGAGAGAGGGTGGAGTGAGGAGGAGAAGAAGAAGAAGATGATGACTAATTCTACTCGTCTGGACTGATATATTTCCTTGACATTCATTAAATTTTACAAAATCCTCTAGAACTGAAACAGCTAAATTGCAGGGAAAAAGAAACATGCCAAATGAGTTAACAGATCACAAGCAACAAGAAGCACACACCTCACATCTTGATGAAGTAAACCCATAGGGACAATAACAGTGAAAGTCACTACCGCTGCTGAAACAAGTGGCCCCATTGACGCACGGGTTGGAGTCGCAAGGGTTGGTGCTGAACTGGCAGTTGCTCCCAGAGTATCCGTGTGAGCATTTACACTCAAAGCCATTGACTTTATCCACACACATGCCGCCATGGAGACAGGAGCTGTGAGCAGACAGAAAAAGTGTTTATATATGTTTATAGGTGACAATTCCTAAGGTCATGGCTTCAAATCAACATGGAGCCGAATTTTTTCTTATATGACCTTGGCTCCCAGGTCAACCAAGCTATAAATAGGTACCAGGTAAAGTCCTAGGAAGTAAAGGCAGCCAGCGTAGTGTTGAGCCCATCCCCGATTTAGGGTCGGTTCGTCTAAACAACAATGTCTAGCCTCATATTGCTAATTCACCAGCTGGTGTTAAGGGACTTTACTCAGAGTACGATTATTTTATCAACAAACAAGCTGCTGTAAAGACAAGCTGTGGGGGGAGATAAAAGGTATCTGTTTATGTTTAAAGGTGAAAGGGTCAAGTTTAATGATGTTATCAACATACGTGGCACCATAAAAATGAGCTGCTACGGAGGGAGAAAATTGTGTTTGTTAATGCCTAAAGGTAAAAGGGTTGTATCCCTGATGGCTTGGCATCTCACTAAGGAGCAGCTGGCAGCTTGCTGGAAGAGTCACACAAATAATGAACCCTGTAGCTCCAGTGACAATCTCCAGAGATCCAAGAGAATTTGCACTTGTGATATGAATAACAGTGTTGAACTGAATCTTTAACCTTCAGGGAATGAGGCAAATGATCTGCTGCTGCTTCTTCTTCTGCACTGACGCTTTAAATAGCAGCTGGACTGTTTACAGCTAGGCTGCAAAATCTGTGCCTTTGAGCCCAACACACAACAATTTCAGCAAAATCGTAATTAGTAGCCTTATATGACATTCTTGTTAGGGGGCAGGGATTTATTAATTTTCCTCACAAAATCTGGTCCAGGAACCCACACAGAGAAGTATCTCATATTATTTCTACAGACAGAATAGGCACATGAGGCACAGAGTTAAGGGATGTAGATCAGGAGTATTCAACTGGTGGCCCACAGGCTTAATCTGGCCCTCACCTGCCAACTGTATTACATTACAGATCTTTTTATGCTGCGGCTCGATTCCTTGGCCCGTGACGATCCCCATTTTCAATACTATGGCCCCTGGGTGAACTCTGCTGAATAGCCCTGCTCAGTGCTCAATAATAGATGGGGTAAAGATGTGGAAACTGACCTCTACTACAAAATAAAAATGTGTACAGAGGGATATGAATGATACAGGCATTAGAGTGGATTTTTAGGAACAGGATGACATGGACCATGTTGAATGATGGGGAAATCAGGAAAGAAATAGGGATAAAGAAGAAAATGATTAAATAGATTGAAAGCTGACCACCTGAGAAGAAGCATATTAAATACATGCTGTGGCAACAGTAGTTCTGAGATTATGTAAACTAATTGTGGAAGACTTTTTTTTAGCAGACGCAGGTCTTGTGAGTCAGCATGGTCTATGATTTCCAAGCCTCCCTATAAACAAGAAAGAGAAAAGCAAGCACCCTTTTCCATATTTTCAGGTGAAGTGGGCATGTTGGGCTAGACCTATATTTTACAGACCAGTCGGCACTTGGTGGGTGACGTCGTGGTAACATTACGTCAACCACCTTTACTTCCCAGGACGTGGTAACATTACGTCAACCACCTTTACTTCCCAGGACGTGGTAACATTACGTCAACCACCTTTAGTTCCCAGGATGTGGTAACATTACGTCAACCACCTTTACTTCCCAGGACGTGGTAACATTACGTCAACCACCTTTAGTTCCCAGGACATGGTAACATTACGTCAACCACCTTTACTTCCCAGGACGTGGTAACATTACGTCAACCACCTTTACTTCCCAGGACTTTGCCTGGTATTTATTTAAGGCTGGGTTAACCTGGAAGCCAAGGTCACTTGTGAACAAAAACATGGATGCCTCCCTATAGCACATGACCCATCCGTCAGTGAAGATGGAGAGGTTCCAATAAATTCATTAGCAACCACACACATATACAACAAATATGCTGATTACCTACCTTTTTGTGCAGTCATTGTCATTGACCTGGCAATGCTGTCCACTGAAACCTGGCTTGCAGGTGCAGGTGTAAGAGTTGACGTAATCCTTACACTCACCACCATTGATACACGGGTTAGAAGCACACTCGTCGATGTCATTCTGGCAATGCTGGCCTCCAAAGCCACTGACACAGAGACAGTCGTATCTCCCAATACCGTCAATGCAAGTTGCCCCATTGAAACAAGGATCTGGTAGAAAGGAAATTATAGTAGAGTACACATCGCATCGATGGTGTGATTTTCCGGTTATGTTCTTTTAAAAACTGTTCAAGTGAATATCTGCATTCCTCTGTTAAACATTTCTTCTTCTTCTTCTTCTTCGCGTTCACCAGCTGTAAACTCTGGCGGAAAGTTCTGGTTGTTCATCCACTTCTGGACTGCATTCCTGTTCCAGAACCCGAGTGTTGCGTGTGCATCCGTTTTACAGATCTGACTGATTTTATGCAGACTGCTGGTTCCTTGCCTCTCAGGCAGATGCATTCCGATTTCAAAGGAAGCTCCCATTTAGTCGACTCTTACGACATGATTTTGGGTAGGCAGTGGGTCTATTCTTGTTTTCCTGTAATAGGGCCCCGGAACCCACACGGGGAAAACATTTCATCATCATCATTATCATCTTCCATTTGCTGTTGGGTGTCATGGAGTTTCCAGTCTGAAGCTCAGTGGGTAGGACTGATTATTGTCATTCTATGCAGATGTTTCATGTCTTTAATGCCATGAAGCTATTGTCTCCTTGGGTGACCTTTCACTCTCACAACAGATCTTTTTAAGTGTAGTGCCTTTGTGTTGGCAGTTGCTGTGGTTGCATTCTAATAAGACAACCAAAGAATCTGACCTTCTGCTAACAGATAAATATTGGACCAGGTGTTGCTCCCACAGTCATTGTGATAGTATCATAACATTTGTTAATGTTAGTTGCTGTCGCGTGCGAATGTGCACTAGAACGCACCAGTACGGAGTGAGCAAATAAGACGTCAAAACAATACGTCAGGTTGTGAAGGAATTGTATTCTAGGAGATGAAAGTTGATGTTTATAGTTCGAAGGAGACGGACGTGGGAATCCTTGAGGACGCTTTACCCCGGGATCCCACGGAAGCAAACGTTATATAAAGTTGGATCCTTGAGGACGTTTTACCCCGGGACTCCAAGACCTCAGCAGGAAGCTGGTAAACGTTACATTTTCGGCAGTATGCCGGTATACTTTCATTGCTTAATTCGGACTTGTCCGAGGACCAAGATGATTGTCATGATCTCAAGGTCGGACTGCGACCTATCGTGAGGACATATCAGTCCATGGATGTACGAGCGAGCTTTGGTGAATGAATCTTGATTAGTAACTGCATATTTCTCATTGTGTTGATTATCGATATTGTCAATACACAAATGGAACTTTTGAAGAGAGTTCTCGTTCTGCTACGTTGGAAGCTTCAGCATTCATCATGTTGTGTTACTCTTGGCCAGTGGCATGTTAAGTGTTGATGCCATTTGATACGTTGCGACACCCCCTAGTCATTTTACACTTGTCACAATCAATCAAGCCCACGTTAAGTTTAGCACCGCACGTCACAATGGAGGCCAGCCTTTAAAGAATGAGGGACCTCTCGTCACAAGTGTGATACGACATTTTGTCGCGTTGTTATTGTTTGCCTCAAGTTGTACACGAAGCACATTCCAGTTGTCACAGTCTTAACATATCTCTAGCTGTGGATATCGTTCAATGTATCAAGTCGCCGCCGCCGCCGGTCTGTTCTAGCCATCGTTGGATCTTTATCTGGACTTTATCAATCACTCTTCGTTGGATCTCTGTGCCACTCTTCGTTGGATCTTCATCGGGACCGTATCATTCTTCGTTCGTTGGATCTTCATCGGGACCGGATAACTCTTCGTTGGATCTCCGTATCATACTTCGCTGGATCTTCATCATAGTCAAGTCACCGTTACTGACTGTGCCACTCTCCGGTGGATTGGAGTGGATCAAGTCGTCATTTTCGTTGTATATGCTCTGCTACTTGCGTTGTACCGGTCGTTATTTAGCTATTTTTCATCGCTAACATTGCAGTGTGTTGTTTGTCTGCCACCCAATTGGTAAGTCAATTGTGGTTGTTGTGGTTTCTGTTGCGCTGACAATTTTAACTCTTTCCTCCAGAGAACAGACCTGGTTTTCCCGTGCGCAAGTGAAGAGCGAGTGGCACATTAATTGTTACGTGTTATCAAGTAAGCGGGAGGTTGGGCGGTGAGAGCCTTATTCGATATTTCAACTAGCTCGCCACTAGAGTGTCATATCGTCTTTGGCTCTGTCTGTAGCCAACTTCAACCCTCGGAGTGGTCCCCATTATAACAGGGAGATTGTTTATCTATTCGTGACTCGGTGGATTGATTTAGGCTAAAGTGTCTTAGTCCGGTCTCGTCACGTCCTGTACGTTTAGTTTGTAATAGTGCTACCTGGTGTTCTTTCGACGATTGTCCCTTCTCTGTTTGTTAGTTCCATTGGTGTATTTGTGAAGTCATTTTTTAATTATCGTCTGTCAGACTCGTCGCATTGTACGTGTGTGACAGTACGCAGTATTCGTTGTCCTGTGGCGTCACTTCACCACACACTATCATTTTATCATATATTGTATATTGATTGTCATATTACTTAAATACGTCTACATACCCAAATTACCATTTCTTACACCTACAGAAGATCTTCATAATTTTTTGGATCGCTTCTCGTTAGCGATGAATACAGCTAAGATACCAGAAGAACAATGGGTATCACGTTTAAGGGATTTGCTAACGGGACCAGTTTTGAACACGTTCACGAACTTATCAGAAGACGAACGCGCGTCGTTCGAAATAGTCAAACAAAAACTGCTGGCGTCGAAGTGCATGACCGAAGAAGGTTACCGTGTGCAGTTTAAATCTGTTGTGCCATCCGTCGATGGAAGTTTCGCTGATTTTGTGGCCCGCGTTAGAACGTTGTTTACGCGTTGGGTGACATTGGCAGATGTTAAAAACTCTTATGATAAGTTAGCTGATCTCATTATTAGAGATAAAATTTTGTCGTCATGTAGTTCGGAGATGTTCTCATTTTTTCAAGAAAGGAAACCGAAGTCAGTTGAGGAGATGACAACATTGGGAGAACAGTATGTCACTGCACATCCTGGTAAACCATTGCACAACCCCAGGTTCGAGGACATACTCCCAGCTGCATCCAGTATTAGGGTGCACCACAATGTCTCGTCAAATCGGCCCGGGTGGAACAAATGCCATAATAGGCAGGGGCGCTATCGCAGCCACAGCGAACAGAGACAACCACCCCATAGAGATCAAACGTCCAAAAAGCAGGGTGAACATTATCAACCCCGTTCATCTGCTTGTTCAATCTGTCTTTCGTGGAGACACAAAAGTCCCGATTGTCCCCACAAGCGATACAGGAAAGATGATGATGATGGTCCATCTTCACGAGGTAGGTTTCAACGCAACACAGGTCCTATAAGGTGCTATGTATGCCGTGGTTTCCATAAACGTTCTGAGTGCCCAAGGGTTATGAACAGTCATGCTAATTCCGCGCAAACAGTAAACGCAGCGATGTCACAAAAAGTGACAAATTTAGCGGACGGTCAGGTTCGAATCCAACCCGAAATTGTTTACCCAGCGTTGTCTGCTGTACCACTGGAGGCTGGTTTGCCTTTGCATAATGGTTATGTTGGAAACATAAAATCTAAGGTATTACGCGATACGGGCGCCAATGTAATAGGAGTGGCTAGATACCTAATCCCCAAATCGGCATACTTAGGTCGGTATTGCAAGTGTCGTACTTTTGGTGGTCGTCTAGAAAGATTTCCTTTAGCAAAAGTCTATTTAAATAACCCGTATTTTGAAGGTGTTGCCGAAGTGTGTGTTTTGGAGAGACCATCAGCAGACGTACTCCTTGGATCAGTTCCAGGAGCAAAGATGCCCTCGCGTGAGGAAATCGAACGCTGGTATACAGAAAATGAGGGTATGACTGAAGCTAATGCTGCAGTTACACTCGCTCAACAGAGAGTAAGTAACGAGGAAGCTACACCTGCGTTACAGTCAGCTACTTCGAACGAAAACCAAATAGCTATCACATGTGGGATAGCTAGCGAAGAAGCACTAAAGAATGAACCAGAACGACCAAAAGAGCTTGGAAACGAACCACACGCACCGAAAACAAACAGTTTTGCGATACAACAACGGGCGGATCCTACCCTCACTAAATGCTTTTCTAGGGCAGAAGTAACCGGTGTTAGAACATGTAAGCAAGGTACATGGCATTTTTATGTGAAGAATGGAATTTTAATGAGATATTTTAAATCACCTGTTATGCAATATAAACAATTAGTCGTTCCTTTTATGTTATAGAACCGATGTTCTGAGAGTTGCACATGACACACACTTTTGCTGCACATTTAGGTATAGGTAAAACACAGAAAAGAGTTCTTGCACAATTCTATTGGCCTGGTTGTTCCACAGATATTAGAAAATACTGTAGGTCATGTAAAGACTGTCAAATGATGGCGAGAAAGGATGCATCTCAGAAACCTCCTATTCAAAGGGTCTATCTTCCATGTCGTCCTTTCGAAAAAGTTGCTGTCGATCTTGTGGGTCCGCTACCGGTTGTTTCACAAAGAGGATTTAGATACATTTTAACATTTGTAGACATGGCATCACGTTGGGTTTGAAGCAGTACCGTTACATCATATCACTACTGAGTCAGTAGCAGAAGCATTGATGCTTATATTCTTCTAGAGTAGGTTTTCCTGAAACAATCCTATCAGATCACGGATCACAATTTATTTCAGAAGCAATGCGCTCTTTTGACAAATTACTTGCCATCTCTCACGTTTTTTTCTGCAAGATATCACCCACAATCAAATGGGCTAGTAGAAAATTTAAATGGGAAAATAAAAGCTATGCTAGCCAAAGTTACTAATCAATTTCCAGCAGACTGGGACAAATACCTTCCTGCTGTTTTGTTCGCCTATCGTGAGGTGCCCCAGAGCAGTACAGGTTTCTCACCTTTCGAACTTATATATGGTGCTAATCCCAGAGGTCCACTGTCGCTGTTAAAGGACATATGGATCGGTAAAGGCGATCAAGAAGCGCCTCAAACATATATTAAATTCGTGACGGAGTTACGTAACAAGATAATCACAGGTTGTCAAGTTGCACGGGACAACTTGGAAAATGCTGGTACTCATCAAAGAGAATACGTTAACCGTAACCGGAGACTAATCACTCTCCAGCCTAATGATGATGTATTGATATTTCTGCAAGATAATAATAATTGTTTATTAGCCAAATGGCAGGGTCCTTTTAAAGTTATTAAGAAAATTTCAGATGTGGACTATCTTATTGATGTCAGAGGACATCATAAAGTATATAATCTAAACATGCTTAAAGAGTTTAAGTCTCGCCCTGGTGTTTTGTCTGAAGTGTTAGAAGCAGCTGAGGCACCCGACAATAATTTGCAAGAAGAAGAAATGGAGGCAGCATTCTGCCACGTCATTGTCGAGGTGGACACTGCTCATCAATTGTCTCTACCCGAACTGGTACCCAGAGAAACATGGAGAGACGTGGAAGTCGCGCCCTCGGTTCCACCAGATATGGTGCGTCGTATAAAGCGTATTTTGGCTACATTCGACAAAACATTATCGGACATACCGGGTAGAACGACAGAAGCAGTGCATTCCATTGAATTTATAGATCATAAACCCATCAAAATGAAACCATATGTTATACCTTTTCATTATCGGGATGCCGTGGATAAGGAAATCGATAACATGATTAAGTGGGGTATAATTGAACCGTCGACATCACCCTATGCTTTTCCAATAGTGGTGGTCCGAAAGAAAGATGGAAGCCTTCGGATCTGCATAGATTTCCGAAAATTTAATCGAATCACGGTTGTAGATGCTGAAAATATCCCAAATATGGAGGATATGTTTGTTGCATTGTCGAAGGCTAGGTATTTTACAAAGTTAGATCTTACCAAGGGTTATTATTGGCAGATTCCCTTAGCTGAGGATTCAAAAAAATACACCGCGTTTCAGACGAACAAAGGTTTGTTTCACTTCAACTATATGGTTTTCGGGCTTTCGGGAGCGCCTGCGACGTTCACCCGCCTCGTACGCAAGTTGTTACAGGGTCGTAATGATGTTATTCATTATCTGGATGACATTCTGCTTTTCCATAATGATTTAGACGAACATATTCGAGGTCTAAAGACATTACTGGAACGCATAAGGTCGTTTAATCTGACAGTTAGACCAACTAAAGTGAAGGTCGCTTTTGAGGAGGTCACGTTCCTCGGTCACGTTGTAGGACACGGGGTCCGTAAACCCGAAGCCACCACGGTGGGTAAGATTCTTAACATCCCTATACCAAAAACGAAGAAACAAGTGCGTGCGTTATTGGGTTTATGTAACTTTTATGCCAAATTCATTCCTAACTATTCAACCATTACAGCCGTGTTGTCCTCATTGGCGATGAAAGGAATGCCAGCGAAGGTTATCTGGACGAGAGAGTGCGAGGACGCGCTCCAGAGATTACAAAAGGCATTTAATAGTAATCCTTTCTTGTGTTTGCCAGATTTGTCTCTGCCGTTTTATGTATCCACAGATGCGTCTGATGTGGCGATTGGTGAGACGTTGATGCAATCCAGAGAGGGCACCCTACTCCCTGTTGTTTATGCCAGCAGGAAGCTGTCGCCTACTGAATGCCGTTACAGCGTGGGCGAGAGGGAGGCACTAGCCATTTTTTGGGCAATAGGGAAGTTTACCCAATTCCTGTATGGCAGTCACTTCTTTATCTTGACGGACCATCGCCCACTCGAAGTCTTGAACTCAGCACCCATCAAGAACTCACGCATATTAAGATGGATGATTTTTCTTCAGACGTTTAACTTCACAGTTATTTATCGTCCAGGAAAAGAAAATGTCTTGGCCGATTTTTTGTCGCGCACCCCTGATGCATTGGAATAGGATTGATGTTTATTGTTTAATTTACAGGATATTTAAAATGCTTGCTGTTATGAAAAATAATTTGGATAACGATAATGATGTTGATAATAATGCTTAGTGAAGTCAGGAATCTATATTTTGCATTTACCTTAGTAATGTATTTATTTATGATATATTGAGACGTGGGTGTTTGTGTATTCAAGTGTTCTTGTTTGCTCTCTCGTATTGGTGCTGTTGCCGCGACATGACTCCAGTTTTCCGACCGAGACTACGACAAGTCCTAGTGCTCGGTCGTGGTCGGGAGGGGGGAAAAGCTGTCGCGTGCGAATGTGCACTAGAACGCACCAGTACGGAGTGAGCAAATAAGACGTCAAAACAATACGTCAGGTTGTAAAGGAATTGTATTCTAGGAGATAAAAAGTTGATGTTTATAGTCCGAAGGAGACGGACGTGTGGATCCTTGAGGACGCTTTACCCCGGGATCCCACGGAAGCAAACGTTATATAAAGTTGGATCCTTGAGGACGTTTTACCCCGGGACTCCAAGACCTCAGCAGGAAGCTGGTAAACGTTACATTTTCGGCAGTATGCCGGTATACTTTCATTGCTTAATTCAGACTTGTCCGAGGACCAAGATGATTGTCATGATCTCAAGGTCGGACTGCGACCTATCGTGAGGACATATCAGTCCATGGATGTACGAGCGAGCTTTGGTGAATGAATCTTGATTAGTAACTGCATATTTCTCATTGTGTTGATTATCGATATTGTCAATACACAAATGGAACTTTTGAAGAGAGTTCTCGTTCTGCTACGTTGGAAGCTTCAGCATTCATCATGTTGTGTTACTCTTGGCCAGTGGCATGTTAAGTGTTGATGCCATTTGATACGTTGCGACACCCCTAGTCATTTTAGGCTTGTCACAATCAATCAAGCCCACGTTAAGTTTAGCACCGCACGTCACAGTTGCTCATTGTTCAGGATTTACAGCCATAAGTTACAATTAGTATCATGCTGAGATGCAAGAATTCTTTTTCCAACTTCCAATTACAAGAGCATCTTTATCTCTCTCTCTCTCCTCCCTCCCCCCCCTCCTCCTCTCTTAGATTATAAACTAACAAGCTTATGTCAAAATATGTAGTAGGGAAAGAAAACTGCGGAACAAAACAATAATGCTCTTACTTGGATCACAATCATCATGGTTGATCTCACACTGCCTCCCTGTGTAGCCCTGTGGACAGTGACACACATACGACCCATTTGTGTTTTTGCAAGTTCCGTTATTTCTACATGGATTGCCTTGAGCACATTCGTTGATATCCTGTTCACAGCGAATTCCTAAAATGGACAGAACAAGCTACATTTTCAAATGATGAAGTAAATAAAAAAAAAAAAAACAGCACAGGAAGTTAAAAAAAAAGAAATATTTAGTCAAATATTATTATAAACTATTTTACTGATGTTCAACAAGATTTGAACCTTGAAGAAGACTGGCTTATAAACAGAATTTTGTCTGAGAAATCATCACAATTTGGTCCAGAGGTTTATCCCTTTTCAGCTGGCATCCTCACTGAACAGTTGAGACTACAATGGAGCAAATATACAACCAACTATGTCTCCTGACCCCTGGAGCTGGCGCTGTGAAAACTGATGTCAAATGTGTATGTCTTAGAACACAGCAAGTGACAGATGAATGTTCCGTTTTAATATGGCAAGACCCCTACCCCTTCCTCCCCAAATTTAAAAAAAAACAAACAAATTTAATCAAAAAATAAAGGACAAAAAAGCAAAATTCCAATCAATATTAACTTGGAGAAAAACAATTTACATAAATCAAAGTGCCGAATAACATAAAAGAAACAACCACAAAACAACTGGTAATTTAGTGGCAAGATATCAATGTGTAGCATTGTTTGAGTGGGTGGGGGCGAGGGTAATAACCATACATTGTTATGCAAATATGTGAATAATTTAAGGATTTTCTGTATTAAAATAGACCAATTCCAAATGTTATGAAATCATATCTATGTCAGGTTGCATGTTTACTCTACTCATAGCCACTGTTGAATACCCAACATTTTTCTTTTAATAAAGTTATTGTATTTAAAATTCCCAGACATTGATTTCATAACATGTGGAAATGGTCTATTTTAATACAGAAAATCCTTAAATCATTTACATATTTGCATAACAAATGAGACATCATGAAAATTCTTCTTTTTCTTCAGCATTCTGAGCCCTTGAGGTTCACTGCCACAGATTTCACCATTCATCTATCGGGTTAGCCTTCTCTTTCCAGCTGGTGACACCAAATACATGTAGGTCTGTCTAGATCTCTCCATTGTCTTCTTTATGGTTAGGGCATATCGAGAGAATGATGACAGAGAAGTGAAAACTGTATACAGGAGGCAGACCAAGAAGACGGTGGAAAGATAATGTCCAGAAGGACCTACAAACACTTGGTGTCACCAACTGGAAAGAGAAGGCCAACTAGAGAGATGAATAGAGGTGGGTGATATCTGCAGCATTGAACCTCAAGGGCTCAGAATGCTGAAAAAGAAGAAGAAGATCGACGTCTTTGTCTGTCTCATGGTCTTTGACCATTCAGCTCCCTTTTGTATACAGTTTTCACGTCTTTGCCATCAGACATTCTCCCACTATGCCCAAGCCATTTCAGTCTATTAGCCTTCAGTGATCAATGGGATATAAACAGATTGTAAATTTCATTGTCACTTCTCAATCAAGAATTACAAGAGAATTACTTTAACTAACTGACATACCTGTAAACCCAACAAGACAGTTACATTTAAACTGAGTTTGGTAGTTGCTCTGGGGAACACATTGGGCTGAGTTCTGGCACGGGCTAGAGCTGCAGGGATCAATTCTGACATCACAATGGTCGCCAGTGTATAGCACGTCACAGTGACATATGTACTTGTCAATCAGATCAATGCACTTCCCATACTTGCAGGGGTTGTTGGCACAGTCGTTGATATTCACTTCACAGTCTTTACCTGTAGATATACAAATTTGAGACTAGCATCATGTACATGCTGACGGTAGACTGGCTGGAAAAGGGATCTTTTACCTACTTATTACTTTATTCTAGATAGGTGGGAGGCATCAAATAGTCTTCTTCTTCTTCTTTATTCTCTCCTGGAATGCCTCGCAGCATCAGGGGAGGAAGAAATCTCTAGAACGGGCCCTTGTGTTTGCTTTGTATATAGTACTTTTCAGTGTCTGATATTTCTGTGGTCCATCTTCTGTGTGGTCGACCTCTGGGTCTGTTACCACTGTATCTGTATAACACTGCTCACTGTGATACCCTGTCTGCTGCCAATCTTGTTACATCGTCAAATCATTTGATTTTTTTGGGTCTACATATAAAGTTCAGTATTGGTTCTGTGCGGATTCTCCTCCTGATATCATCGTTTCTAAGTTAATTTTTCCTCGTTACATCTAGTATAGTATGTAAAGATTTCATTTCTGTGGTGACTATTTTCCTTCTGTCTTCTGAAGAAGACAGTGTCCATCAAATAATGACTTGAGTTAATCAATTAATTCCCTGAATGGGTTCAAAGGTCCCAATGTTGGGAAAAATGAACCCACTGCTCACTAACAAGCAGGAAGTAACAGCTGACCAATTAGGGGTTTCCGTTGAAATCACAGTGCATCGACCTGAGAGGCAAGCAACCAGCAGACTGAAAAATAAGCCAGACCTGTAAAATGGGTGTACATATGAATCTCAAGTTCTGGTATAAGATAAAGATCCAGAAATGAATGAACAATCAGAACTCTTCACGCTGGAGTTTACAGCAAGTGTACATGAATGAGAAACAGCAGAATTAATCAATCAGGAGCCATCTGCACAATGAAGGTTGGCAGCAAGGGATCTCCAACACACTCTGTCTTTTGGCTTGGATGTAATCTCTCTTAGACTTCTGTTCTTGCATCTGCTGACATTATCCTCCCACTTATATCACTGTCTACCTCCTGCTCGCCTGCCTTCAACTTTCCCCTCTAGTATATTTTTTTTATAAAAGTGTTATGCCTTTTAATATGACTCTTGTAATATATCTATATCTGTATTAGAGAAGTTGAGTGGTCTCGAAGCATGGCATCTGCCTCAAGTGTTGGTGGTCCCAGGTTCATGCGCAGGTGAAGATTGGGACTTTTTTCACGTGGACTTCTAGTAATTTTCCCTGATCTCTGGGTAGTAAGATCAGATGCTCGTGTGTATTGTTGCGCACATAAAAATCCCTTGACAGTTGAAAACTGAAAAGAGTGGCCTAACGGCACTGCCCAGCAAAATGTGGAGTTAAAAATCTAACCAAAGTAGTTCAGGATCCTCACCGGTGCTATGGAGTTTGTGCTCTGTGCTGAAAATCTTTGGACTCAGGCTTGAGTTAGAAGTAGAACGGAGCACTTATGGGTTACTACCCTTTTTCTGTCAGGGGATAAAAATAAAATCCAAACATGCACATTTTAGGGCCATGCAACCCTAAATCCTCAGTCTCAAAGACACCAAACCCCGACTAGGCTGCAAAAGTGCTAAAAACAGACGGTAAATGGGAGCTTTTGGTAATGATGGTTTTAGAGGTCTCACCTGTGTAGCCAGCCAAACAGGTACAGGTGTAATAGTTGAAGTGATCCTGGCATTTGCCTCCATGTTGGCAGGGATTGGAGTGGCACTCGTCCACCTCCTTTTCACAGCGAGAGCCTGTGTATCCTTGTGGGCATTCACAGTCAAATCTGCCAGAGGAACAGTAAAACATGCCAGTGAAATATTAAAAACAGGCCAAAAACAGAAGTATGATTTAAAACTGTCAAAAAAGCTATGATAAAAACTGTCAAAGCCGTGTTTAAAAACTGTTAAAACAGGGCTGTGTTTAAAAAAACTGCTAAAACAGGACTATGTTTTAAAACAGGGCTGTGTTAAAAAAAACTGCTAAAACAGGACTATGTTTTAAAACTGCTAAAACAAGCGCTGCGATTGAAACTGTCAAAACAGGGCTGCGTTTAAAAACTACTAGAACAGGGCTGTGTTTAAAAAACTGCTAAAACAGGGCTGTGTTTAAAAAGTTCAAGGAAAACAAGAGTTACACAGCAATGCAAATGAAAGCTAAGATCTAGATATAGATGAATAGCAATCAGAGAGAGTGTGTAACCAGGGTGAGATACAGTATGTTGCAGGTCTATTGCAGTCAACATGTAACTGTACTCGTTAATCATTAGCTGAGGCTTCAACATCACCACAGATGGGTCGCCCCATGACTGCTCCGTTCCTATGCCAGTGTTTCTGTCCCATTTAAAAACTAGTAAAAACTTGTCAGTCCCAGCAAAAAATCTTGAAATTTGCACACGCAATGTAAAAGAAATGCATAAGGTAGCTGTAACTGTACTGATACTGCCTAAGTGAGTAACTAATACCTGTTGTAACCGTTGACACAATGTCCACCGTTGACACAAGGATTTGATGCACATTCATTGACATTTGAGCGACATCGGTCGTCATAGTATCCCATTGGGCAGGTGCAATGGAAGTCATTTTCCAGATCAGTGCAATGTCCTCCGTTATAGCATGGATTAGGGCTGCAGTCGTCTATGTCAATTTCACAGTATGTACCTGGTTATGGAGGAAATGTGGGTTCATTATAATTATCTTCATTATAATTATCATCATTATAATTATCTTCACTATAATTATCTTTATTTAGGCTTTATTTAGGCTATAATTGTCTTTAGGCTAGAGAACACGACACACACACATCGTGATTGTAACTGATTCAGAAAACATACTGAGGAAGATCAGAACAGGTATGCTTTGTGCAGAGTGGCATGCTTTGCTGCGGAGGACATGGGTGAGGAGTAGTGTCTGGATTTTTTCACCGGGAAACGCCGGTGTGTTGGGAAATGAACACGCAGACAGACTGGCTGACTCTGCACAACTTGGTGGAATACTGATACATGATAAGGCAGACGTAGTTTAGTGCCTTGTGGGAGAGCGTGTGCAGTTTGGAGGAGCAGATGGATCACCACAGTCTGGGGAGATTGATGCAGCGGGGAGTGACGAGAGGTTCTGGCAGATGCTCGAGGCTCAGAGGAAAGGCAAGACGGATGTTTAATCAGAATGCTACTGGCACCATTAGTATCCAAAACTCGCACTGATTGCATTTTATATCTGGACAAAAGAGTGACATCAGAATATAACTTGATCGCCTTTCAATTTCATGATTATAATAAAAAAACGTCAGCTAACGTCTTTAAATGCTGACTTGTTATTTGAACATTCCCTGAACCTGTTTGATTCTCATCCTTGAGAAGTTAATCCTACAGAATACAATCCTGGAAGAGATAAACTACCTATCCTCTCTTGTTACATGATTAGGTAGACAGTGTTTGGCAGCCCACCTCGACTGTTTGCGGCCAACCAATGGGTAGTGGCCCCTGAATTGAAGAACACTTGATTTAATACATATGTAATTACACTGTACTATTTACATGTAGCAGCACTGTACCATTCATATGTAATATACCTGTACCAGTGCAAAGGGGGAGAAGCATGGACAGAGCTGATATCATCAATACTGTACACACTAGGTTGGAGGATAACGGTGAATCTCTAACGCTAACACGACTGCGTAACTGAGGAGTTAAGCTTGGTGAAGCCCGTCTATGCCATTTTGGAGGTAAAGACAGGAGATACTATAACCAACTCCTCATAGGAACTAGGTCTGTACAGAATATTAGCTTCGTATTCGCTTCGGGGCCGAATAGTGGACCAAATAACTATTCAGTATTCAGCCGAATAACTGCGGTCAGGCCGAATACGAATAGTAGTTACCTTACACTCATTTCTGCAAACACTGCGATGGACTGAAATAATTCTCTCATTAACACAATAGTTGCTGTTGCCTAAGTTTGTAGTAGCGGGAAAACTGCAACCCGGTTGGGTGGTACAGCAGCTGGCAAGGTCTTGCCTGCTGACTTGACCGAGGCATTACATCAAAAGTTCTCAAACTTGGTGCGTAAGCCAGGGGTGCCGTGGCGAAAAGTCGGCTTTAAATTGTGACATTATTAAAGAAGGCATAAAGATACTCGAAAGTTAAAATTTAAATCGTCTTTCCTCGCCACTGTCGAAAAGAGCACAGGCGACAGGCAATAACTGCATTTTATAAAATGAAGAACATCTTATGCAATATATCTTTGCCATTGAAGGTTAGAAAAAGAATTCTTGCTGGCTACATACATCCAGTTTTAACATATGGTTGTAAGTCCTGGACAATCGGTAGGCAGGCCAAACAATTTCTTGAGGCCTCATAGATGTAGTTTTACAGAACAATGCTTAAAATAACCTTGAACAGCCAAAAAAAAGCAACCAATAGGTTTTGAAAGAGGCGGAAGCCCGAAGACAACTAATCACAGACATCAGAAAGAGACAGTCATCATTTTTCTCCTATGTTATGAGAAGAGGGAAAACGGAACATGTGGTGACCACTAGAAAGATCTGTGGAAGGAGGGATAGAGGAAGACAACGAGAAAAGATTCTTGACAGTCTTGTTGCATGGTATGGAGGTATGTCTAATACATGCTGCAGCAGATCGCAGATTGTGGCAAGGCATAATCGCCCACGTCAGTCGGCAAGGCACCTGATGATGATGATGATGATACACTATTTGTATTCGTATACTATTTCGGTACTATTCGGTACAGCCCTAATAGGAACCATCAGTAGAGTTAATTTGGAGTAGCTGCTGCATAGAAGGACTGAGCACGCATGGGGATGCCCAATGTGCAAAGACATCGATTGTGATAACATTACATTTATATGTATGTATGTTGACATTTATATGTAATGGAATGTCACAGAAGTATTATAATGAACAGGTGCAGATTTTATATTTTAAAACAAAAAATGTATGAGAAGGAATGTTTTGTTGTTCTGCTAATTATCTTCTTCTTCTTCTTCTCTTATACCTTGTACCTCAATAAAGTGTCGGGGGGAGATGTAACATTCGTTGATGAGCTCTGTCAAGAGCACTATTAAGACTGATGTTCATTTCTGTAAGGCTGTTTTTAATACCATCACTCCATATTTTCCTAGGTCTTTCGCTTGCTCTATACCCATTGTAACGTTTTAGTGTGGTTCGCTGTGACAGATAGTATCAGGGCATTCTTATTAGGTGTCCAAACCACTTCATTTGTTGTTCTTTGATGACCTGTAAGACTGGCTATATTCCTAGTATTCGTCTGTTTGTGATTTCGTATTCTGTCTTATTGCTAGTTATCAACTATTATAAAGTATTTCCAACGTGAGTCACTTACCTTTGAAGCCAGCCTTACAATCGCAGGTGAACTTGCTGATCCCATCCAGACAGGTGGCCCCATTTCTACAAGGGTTGGACATACAGTCATCATAGTTGTGCTCACAGTTCCGTCCTGTGGTCCCATGTGGACACTTGCATTCATAACCAATCTGCAGATTCTTGCAGGAACCACCAAACAGACAGGGGTTTGAGGCGCACTCATTGACGGGAGTGCTGCAGTGCTGGCCAGTATATCCAGGACTACAATTACAGGTGTAAGCATCTAGCCCATCAATACATGTGCCGTTGTTACAGCTAACGCCCTCACAGTCATCTTTGTTGACTTGACAGTTGACTCCGCTGTATCCTGATAGTAGAAGTAACAAATAAACAATTATTCATTCAATAATTGGACTGACAGATTAATTACAAGGGTAAGTCAGTACGTAAGTTACAAATGATTATGGGATGGCAGGAAAGTAGCTGGTGGTATTCTAAAGGTGTCATTAGGTGATAGCAAGATCAAACTTTATGTATCCATTCATTAGGTGGCGCTAGGTGTTGCATGCACACTCGCAACACAGATACAAAATGGCAACTGTATTTACAGAATGTCCCCTCAAAGAACAATGTGCTGTTGTGCATTTTTCTGGGGGCAAAAGGGCTGCCTGCTAGGGACATGCATAATTAAATGCTTCCTGTTTATGCTGGCAAACGTTTATCCCACAAAGCGGCGCACAGCTGGGTAAAAAAAATTCTCAGGGGCACTCTAAAATTGTTGATGAAGTCGTGTTGAGATGGCAACAGACACATCTGTGCAGCAGGTGGAGGAGATGAAAAGAGGTGACAGGCGAGTAATGGTTGACTCTGTTGCAGCTGCAATAGAGTGCTCACATGGCTTAGCATACAGTGTAATGCATGATTGACTGAAATGAAGAAAGTGTGCAAGGTGGGTACCCAGACAACTGATGGACGAACACAAAATGAACCAATTAGACCTGTCCTGGCAGCATCTCTGTCAATACGCAGATAAAGGAGACGACATACTGAACAGGATTATTACTGGGGATGAATCATGGGTGCATCACTACCAGGCCGAATCAAAGCGTGCTTCAATTCAATGGAAACATCCTTTTTTGCCTTGTGTTCAAAAATTTAAGGTTACACCATCAGCAGAAAAGGTTATACTGACAGTGTTCTGAGACTATCAATGAGTGCTTTTAACCAATTTACAAAAAGAGGTGACAATGTGAATGCTGAATTATACTGTAAAGTTCTATCAATGCTTCACAATGCAATTTGATGAAAACATCCAGACCTGCTGACTAGAGGAGTGCTGCTTCTTCATGACAATGCCAGACCACATACGACTCGGTTAACTCAGGAGAAAATCAACCATCTAGGATGGGAACTTCTGGAACATCCACCTTACAGCCCCGACTTAGCACCTAGCGATTTACACCTTTTTGGTCTTCTTAAAACCTACCTTGGTGGAAGACATTTCACAAATGATGCAGAAGTTGAATGTGAAGTGAAAATGAGGTTTAGAAAACAGAGCACACAGTTATGTGCAGCAGGTTTGGGAGGACTGATAAAACAATGAAACAAGTGCATCAATATTGATGGAAAATATGTTGAGAAATGAAGGGACAGTGAATGTGTAAAAAATTTAATGGTTTTCAATTTGATATTGTCTGAAGTTTTTTTTTTTTTTTTTTAAACAACCATTTGTGACTTACTTATTGACTTCCCCTTGTATAAGATGGATTACTGTAAGACTAAAAAAAATAGTACAAAAGGCAAAAAGAGAAAAAAAGAAAAAAAGAAGAAGACTGTAGAAGTCTGCACAAAATTATAATAAAAGTCACATATCATGTGGGTTGCTTCAGGGTCCATGCTCCATTGGGAGTTGGAAGGCAGAAGAAAAATATAAGTGCTTCAGTCAGAACAACTTAAAGTAACAGGTTTAGGTTTAAACAACCGATCAACATTATGGCACAAGGGGTAACCCATATGTGCTCCGTTCTACTTCTAACTCAAGCCTGAGTCAGAAGAATCTCAGCGCAGTGCACGAACTCCGTACCACCAGCAAAGATCCTGAAATACTTTGAGTAGCTTTTTAACTCCAAATTTTGCTCGGGGTAGCGCCGTTTGGCTTTTCGATTTCCAACTGCCAAGGCATTTTGTTACGTGTGCAACAATACACATGGGCGTCCAACCTTACTACCCAGAGACCAGGGAAAATAACTAGAAATCCATGTGAAGAAAATCCCAGCCTTCACCGCGACGTCAACCCAGGACCTCCAGCACTCAAGGTGGACAATATACCTCAAAACCACTCAGCACACATGACACAGGTGGACAGAGTTAACCCTCTCACCACAAGAAGGATAACTCTAGTCATTTCAAGTTGCTACCCCGTCCCGTAAACACCAATATATGGCCATTTCTGCAGTGACCTGTCCTTGATAAGTTTTAACAAAATTCCATTTGTCCTATGTGCACCTGTGAGGCATTTAGTAAGCCAAGCTGTTAATACAGTAACTAAAAATAGCATGTGGGGTGGAGAGAGGGTTCCTTATGATCCCAATGGATTTTTGAAAAGTTGATGTCAAATTTTCCTGTAAGCCTCAGTGATAGGCAGACATGACATGAGTCTCTTCATACATTTTTTTTAAAGTTCCGGGGAATGTGTTCCATTTTATGCTGCACTCTGTGTGTTATCGATTACCACTTTATTTTTATCTTTATAAATTTAGCAAATAATTCTTCTTAATTTAGTATAATTTTTTTTAACTAATTCATTAGTGACTCGTGTAGTATGGTAGTTTTTTAAAGGATGTTTCTGGAAATTCCCATGACTTCATTACCCATTTTATTTGAACTCTTTGATCCCAAGGGGTTTAGCATCAGAGGCCCAAAGGGGTAGTCAAAAGAGATGTAAAATCGGCGCATCCTGCGTTTATTGGGTCTCTATGTAGGAACCTATGAATGTATGATGCGTTCCTTGGGACTCAAAGAGTTAAGCATTCATGGAGTGAAAGAGTTAATTGAATGAGATTATCAGAAGTTTACCTTTCATGCATTCGCAGCTGTAGCTGTTAACCTTATCGATGCATGATCCCCCGTTCAGGCACTGTGCACTCTTGCATTCGTTGACCTCGGTCTCACAAGTCCTCCCTTCAAATCCTTAGTGATGAACACAGAACAGGATTTATTATTTGTTTTAAAATTAACACATTTGGTGAGCCATACTATGAAATTGTTAATGACATAACAAAACAAAACATTACAGCTATAAGAAATGAGAGGCAAGAGAGAGAGAGAGAGAGAATGAGAGATAGAGAATGAGAGAGAGAGAGAGAGAGAGAGAGAGAGAGAGAGAGAGAGAGAGAGAAAGAGAGAGAGATGAGAGTAAGTGAGTGAGAGTAAATGAGAGCTGGTGAATAAGAGAATATTATTTATGCAGATAAACAAGTATGTCCCATCATCTAAAAACCGAATGGACAATCAACATTTTATGACTTAATTATTTTCATTTCATCCAGTTCCTTAAGCAAAGTGTGGTCTCCAGGTGCAGTGTAAGCAATAAGGAAAGTACTCATTTGTGTGCCTTGCATATAGGGATTCCCTGGGACTCTGGTTCTCCCTCTGTCCATCAACTGGATGGTCAGTCTCTGTGTTGATTTCCACCTGGTCTGTATGTAACTGCTTGCTGTAATATACTGTCTCCTGGTAGCCAGGTTAACTCTTTTAGTGTTAGACAGTTCTAACTACAACACTGTCTGTCCTAAAGTGTTTGTACGTTAAAGCAACTGTAAATTACAACAAGGAAGAAGGTTGGTTGCATATCCTTTACAGAACATTGCATAATCAACCCCAGCAGCCCCTGGCTGTTGTGTGGTTTCTCTAGGCAAATTTACGTCCAGTAGTTTGCCATCGCTTTCTGGACAGTTGGCCTCCTGATACCACTGTTGAAACCAACGCAAAGCGCATGGTCCTCAGCTGGGATCGAACCCGGCACCCGGGCATTACGTGTTCTCAACGTGTTACGTGTTCAGAGGTTCTCAACCTTCCTAACGTCACGACCCTTTAATACAGTTCCTCATGTTGTGGCGACCCCCAGCCATAAAATTATTTAATAGAAGTTTCTTCTAATGAAATCTAGCCCTGCTACTACCCATATTCTCTGTCTGATTTAATCATTCCTGATCTCTCCCCGACTGGTCGAGGGAAGGAAGTATATTAGGACTAGTTTTATTGTATTTGAGCCAAAACAGACACTCTGTGTATAAATAGTAATATAATAATTGAGACTACAAAACAAACACTCTGTGTATAAATAGTAATATTATAATTGAGACTACAAAACAAACACTCTGTGTATAAATAGTAATATAATAATTGAGACTACAAAACAGACACTCTGTGTATAAATAGTAATATAATAATTGAGACTACAAAACAGACACTCTGTGTATAAATAGTAATATAATAATTGAGACTACAAAACAAACACTCTGTGTATAAATAGTAATATAATAATTGAGACTACAAAACAAACACTCTGTGTATAAATAGTAATATAATAATTGAGACTACCAAACAAACACTCTGTGTATAAATAGTAATATAATAATTGAGACTACAAAACAGACACTCTGTGTATAAATAGTAATATAATAATTGTGACTACAAAACAAACACTGTGTATAAATAGTAATATAATAATTGAGACTACAAAACAAACCTGCTAAGCAAGTACAATTGAAATCATTGATCTGGTCCCTGCAGACTCCACCATTGAGGCAAGGATTTCCTTGTGGTGTCCTGCATTCATCAATTTCATTTTGACAGTTGGTGCCCGTATAACCTATCAAGATATTCAAGGGGGGATAATGAAGCCAGTAACATTTCATTCTGGACAGCGAAGAAAACACATGCTGGGTTTTTTTAGAGCTGTGATTATTAACAGACCAAAAAATATAAAGCACGTAAAAATAATAATAAATCTTCTTTTTCGTGTTTACCAGCTGTAAACTCAGGTGGAAAGTTCTGGTTGTTCGTCCACTTCTGGACTGCAGTCCTGTTCCAGAACCTGAGTTGCGTGTGCATCCGTTTTACAGATCTGACTCATTTGTATGCAGACTGCTGGTTCCTTGCCTCTCAGGCAGATGCACTCTGACTTTGAAGTAAGCTCCCATTTAGTCGACTCTTACGACATGCTTTTGGGTAGGCAGTGGGTCTGTTCTTGTTTACCCTATAACAGGGCCCCGGAACCCACACGGGGATATAATAATAATAATAATAACATTAATATCTATAATAAAAACAGTAATAATATACTGTTCTTCAAAAAAAAAAAAAAAAAAAAAAAAAGACACATATTGTTAGCAGAAGGGGCATTTTTATGAATTTGTAAATAAAATATTGTACTAGGGTATGTGAAAAGCAGTCTCAAAGATTGTTTACTTTGTCCAGTGGACAGTTGGGTGTCAATTGTATGGGTTTTTGTAATCATTACAACACAATAGTCAATTGTGTTTGAGACCATATTTGTGAGCACAGCTCATGATGCAAGCACAAGAAGCAACACAATTTGGGGTGAACATTATTCATTGCCTATGCAATTGAAACCCTATAAAAAGATATGGCTACACCAAAATATTCAGTTTATTTTCAAAGCAGCCACGAATGGCACCTCTATTAATTAAGAAATATTGCTATTGGCCGATTGCAGGCAGGAGAAAATCAAAGTCAGATTGCCAGGAATCTAAACATACATCAGAGCACCATCAGTCAACTTTGGCACCAGTTCCAAGCCCCTGGTTCGGTTAAAGACTGACGTCGCAGTGGACAACCCAGAGTGACGACAGCAGCGGAGAATCGCTTTTTTTGCTTTGTCACCTTAGAGACAGGTTTACAACAGCTTCCTCAACTGCACAGGCGTTGCCTCCAGGACGTCATGTGTCTGATAAAACTGTTCACAACAGTCTGCATGACGTTGGACTTTGGGCACGATGACCACCCTGAGGTTTTTTCACCACCGCCAAACATCGACTTCTTTGGGCCAACCAACATCGTTCCCTGAGCAGATGACAATCGGTGGAGACGTGTCTGGTTCAGTGACGAATCTTTCTTTTTGTTGCAGAGTCAAGATAGATGGCGTAGGGTCTACCATAGACGAAATTAAGATTTATCCCAAAATTGTGTTGATGAAGCTCTGCTGCACGGTGGTGGAGGTGTAATGGTATGAGGAATGATCAGTTACAACGGAAGGAGTCAATTGATGCACATTGAAGGAAGCTTGAATGCCAACGAAACGTCAATGAATTTCTTCAACCACATGTTCTTCCATTTTGGGATGCCAACAGATATATCTTTTTCAACAGGACAATGCCAGATCCCATTCTGCATGGCTGACCATGCAATTCCTGGCTGCCAACAACATTCAGACCCGCCATCTGTGTCTGCAGACATGAATCCGATTGAGCACCTGTGGGATGAGCTACAAAGACTTGTTTGTCGCGGAAACGTTGCTCCAGCCAATGGTCGTGATCTGTTCCAGGCACTCCAGGAAGAGTGGGCAGCCATCCCACAGGCCCACATCAGACATCTGATTGCATCCATGCCTAGGAGATGCCAGTAACTGATCCACGCAAGAGGAGGTCGCACACCTTACTATGCCTAAAAATTATCGTGACCCAGATGCAAAAAACAAAGGTGTCAATTGATTGGTGGAACCGTGAGGTATTCTTGTGTGTCATTTGAGTCATTTCACTTAATGCATTACAAAGATGCAGAATTTCAAAATTGTGAGTATCTATGTTCCTTTCAGTAACTATGTGCTTCTTCTTCTTCTTTTTTTTTTTTTAACAGAATACATGAAAACAGACTTTACAGTCTGTATTTTTCACTTCTTACGGGCGGTTTAAGGTAAAGAGGGGGTGTGTGTGTGGGGGGATGATGGGAGGTGAGACTGGGGATTTAAGGCCACATGGCCACAAATTGCGAAGGTTAGAATTTTTTTATTTTTGTCACCCCACCTCCCCGTACGTGTCATCAGAGGTAGCCAAATCTTACCAGAGGTAGCCAAATCTTACCAGAGGTAGCCAAATCTTACCAGAGGTAGCTAGATGTTAACAGAGATAGCTAGATGTTACCAGAGTTAGCTAGATGTTACCAGAGGTCGCTAGATGTTACCAGAGTTAGCTAGATGTTACCAGAGGTCGCTAGATGTTAACAGTAGGGCTGTACCGAATAGTGATTTTCACTATTCGGCCGAATACAAATAGTGGGACCAACTATTCAGCCAAATACGAATACGAATAGTGTATAGTGTATAAAATATATCTAAAAAAAAATTTTAAAACACATTCATAATGTCAAATGTACGCTGAACTTTTACTTCACATAAAATAGCACATAATAGTCTTCTTGTTTAGCATTCTGAGCCCTTGAGGTTTACTGCTACAGATATCACACGTCTCCATTCATCTCTCTGGCTAGCCTTATCTTCACAATTTGTGACACCCGTTGTTTGCAGGTCTTTGCAGCCCTAGTTTACAGAGCTAGATGTTACCATAGTTAGCTAGATGTTACCAGCGGTAGCTAGATGTTACCAGAGGTAGCTAGATGTTACCAGAGGTAGCTAGATGTTACCAGAGATAGCTAGATGTTACCAGAGTTAGCTAGATGTTAACAGAGATAGCTAGATGTTACCAGAGGTCGCTAGATGTTACCAGAGGTAGCTATATATTACCAGAGGTAGCTAGATGTTAGCAGAGGTAGCTAAATATTACCACAGGTAGCCAAATATTACAACAGGTGGTTAAATGCTACCAGATGTAGCTAGATGTTACCATGGGTAGCTAAATGTTACTAAAGATAGCAAAATGTTGCCAGAGGTAGCTACATGCTACCAGAGTTTCCAGAGTATCCGTGGTGTCAAATAAAAATAAACGAGGCTTGAACTGATACGAAGCATAGATGATTCTCATTTACAAGAACATTCTAGAATAACTGACCGACCGATTGTGACGTACCAAGCTGAGCTGGAAAAGGAGCCCAGTGACTCTATTCTCTCACATCTCCCTAAACTACTCCCTCTACCCTTCACATAAACACGAAGAAAATGCTATTCTGCACGCCAACAAGCAAAAGATCCGCAACTCCGCCTTCACAGCTAGGCTGCGATATCTGCGCTTTTCGACCCAATAATCCAATCTCAGCAAAACCTTGGTTACCTTTTACGACATGCTTGGTAAGGGGCAGTGGGTCTATTCTTTGCCCGCCCCCTCCCCGCAAAAAGGGTCTCGGAACCCACACGGGAAAACACTCCACACAGACACATCTCTCAAAATACGTTATTATATATATATATATATAAAAACTTAAAACGTATGCGTGTAATGTCAGTTATAAACTTACAACAAACAAGTAACACAAAAAGCTGACTCCGCGTCATACTGACTCCACTGAAATCCCTTAGAATTATGTATGAATGTGTACTTCCAAATCACTAACTTTGTGAGTCCATTATGTACGTCTATTGTTTCGACGAAAATTAAGCTTTCCTTAGTAGACACACTTAGACGAGACTAGACTCAATTAGATGAGACTAGACACAATTAGATGATTCTAGACACAATTAGATGATTCTAGACACAATTAGATTATACTAAACTAGCACATAATGAAGACGTGTCCAAAATAAACATTTCACTACAACAAACTACGCACGTTAATAGCCGCCCCTTTAAAAAAAAAGGGGGATGGGGGGGGGGGGGGGGGGGCAAGATGTCCATTCCATGTACATACAATTAGTATTTTCTGTGCTGTTCGTATTTCGTCCAGCGTCCATCTCTCGTTCAGTACTGGAGCAAGCCTACTTACAATGCTGAGCCTTTTCAAGGGAGAGGGTGATATTTTATTTTTGTTTTAATGATTATGTCTGTCTGTATAGCTGTGTAGAACTGTATGTCTGTCCGTTCGTTCGTCCGTCCAGCCTACCCAATTATCTACTTACCCACCAAGCAACCTATGCATCGTCTAACCAACCAATCGACCAAAGACCATATCCATCTACCAATCAATTCACAAAGTGACCAGCTAATTAACCAATGATTGACTTGCCTCCCTCCTATTATTTTCAATCTGTTGGAAAGGTTTTTTTTGTTTCTGATAATGGTTTATAATTGAAAAAAAAAAAAAAAAATGGACACGGATGGAAGTTCCTTCTGTCCACAGCGCAACGCCTGGACAATCTTGCAGAGGCTATGTGTTGCATAGGCAGCATGTTTGCTATCTCTGTCTCATCTACTCCAGAGGAAAAGGACACTAATACGTTGGTGCCAAAACATGCTGTAGAGGCTGCCGGATCAGAAAAACTGTGCTCTGACGGCCCCCTGCTTCCTCCTAGACTAGCCGCAAGCCACGGCCAAGAGCCTGGTCTGCCATAATTTCTCAGGGTTTTCAGGTTGCAACAGTTTCTCTTCGTAGGATAAGTCCAGTTCCCTCTTAATGTGCTTCTCCGCCCAAAGCCTTTGACGCAATGTTGTATGTCAGGTTTATTCAACGTCCTCCAACATTCGGCGTTAACAGAGAATAGGCAGTACCAACTACTACTTGCCGGCGTCTGTGGCTTAGACGTTGCGAACGCGCTTCGTGATGCCAGGGTGCCGGGTTTGATCCCAACTGCGGGCCTTGCGCCTTGCCATGGTTTCGACAGAGGTATCGAGTAGACGAACCTCCAGAAAGCAACGGTAAAATACTGGACGTAAACTTGTCTAGAAAAACCACAACAGCCAATACAAAAATGCTGGGGTTTGTTCTGCAATGTCCTGTAAAGGCGACACAGCTAACTAACTACTA